CTCAAAAATCGAAGGAAAAGATTTATTATTTATAACAACACTAGAAAAAGTGGTCAATCATCAAATCTTGCTAGACAAACTCTACTATCTAGGAGTAGATGTTGAATACTGGGATGTTATTGAGGATATGTACAATGGTGTCACCTCAACTGTGAAATGGCAAGGAGACAAGTCTCTTGTTTAGTATTGATAAGGGAGTAAGACAGGTTGGAATTTTATCTTCACATCTATACAAACAATATATCAATGAGTTACTCTCAGAACTAGAAGCTAATAACATGGGAATATCTATAGGGAATACATATGCAGGGTGTCCTAGCTGTGCCGATGATATTGTACTGCTATCAAATGACCAAAACAAAATGCAAGAAATGCTCAACACGGTGTATGATTACTCTAGCGACCATAGATTCTTAATCAATCCAATAAAAAGCAATACAATAGTTAAAAGTGTCAACAAACGAACTAGTGAAAAAATACAGCAAACAACAGAAAATTTTACTTTAGGCGATAACATTATGGAATTTAAATCAGAAACAACACATCTAGGTCTTAAAAGAACAACATCTGAGGAAACTAAAATTGATATCAATGACAGGATATCACTAGTACGAAGAACACTATACTCCCTGATCAAGACTGGCGTTCATGGTACAAATGGACTCAACCCAAGAACTTCATGCAAGATTTACCAAGTCTACGTCATTCCACGTCTTCTATATGGTCTAGAAACCTTAAATCTCCAAAACAAAGACACAATAGCACTATGCAGTTTTCATCTTAGCACTCTGGAGCATATCCAATCGCTTTCAAATAGAACAGCTACATCAGCAGTCTACTTGCTTCTGGGAGCACTGCCAATAACTGCTGAGCTCCACAAAAGACAGCTGAGTCTTTTACACTCAATAGCAATGAGTCACAATAACTCAATACGAGAGATTGCATGGAGGCAACATACAGCAGGTCGACCAAATAGCTTCTTCAAAAGAATAAATGACATACTGGACATGTATCAACTCCCATCATTCAACGAAATAATGAATCAACATTACAACAAACTAGACTGGAAAAACATCGTTCGAACAGTTATTTCATCTCACTGGATAGTTAAACTCAAAGCAGATTGTGAAGAATAATCAACACTCAAATTGCTATCAAAAAGGAACCTAAATATTGGGCAAACTCACAACGTATGGGATACAATATCAAGCTCCGTCAAAGATGTCAGAAAAGCAACAACAAAAGTACGCATGTTAACTGGAACATACATGCTTCAAACCTTAAAAGTAAAATTCAATCAAGCTGAGATAAATCCTACCTGCCCAATATGTAAACTTGAAGCCGAAGATCTTCAACACCTTCTAACAAGCTGCCCAGCGTATAGACACATTCGAAAATCTCACTTTCAACAGATAAAAGAATATGTTGTTAGTAAAATTGGAAGTAGAGTATGGACAATCAATTTCAATAACAAAGTGGCTATTACGGAACTATTGATAGACTGTCAAAGTTTTGTTGAAAGGAACATTCTCCCAAATGACAAAATGATACTTAGAGCAATAGAAATGAAATCAAGGGACTACTGCCACCTAATCCACATGAAAAGAATGAACATTACTAATGTATAGCTAGTGTGTGGAATGAGGGGGTAAATCTCTGTGTATGGTCAAGTCGGTCTCATATCTTAAATCTTAAAAGTAGTATTCCATATGAACATTATTAAACCAATCAAAATAATACTACTCAAACATCATAGCCATGATTTTAGATTTTATAAATTACATCTAATAAGAACACTTACCTTAAAAAAATAATGATTCCCAAGCTAAACGAACATGCTAATTATATTATCTCTTGGCATTTTAAACTAACGTTAAGCCTATTTAAATAATACTACTAAACATCAAAGTTAGTCATGCTTCTGATTTTAATATTGCATTTATAAAACATTTACTTTTAAAATTATGATTCCCAAGTTTAACGAACATGTGATTTATTTCTGGCTCTTGCCATTTTAACATTACATTACTTTTAAAGTCCCTATATTAATGCTTATATATAAACTCACGACTTGTTGTATATACACTGGATATTATGGTGGAGGATACTGTTCATTCTTATTTTACAGAGGATTTATTGTGTTTTAATGTACAGATACTGTTATAATTTATCGGTCTCATCCGAGTGCTCCTAAACAGAAGGGAATTACGAAAGAAGAAGAAGATCCCGCTTGCAAACCAACTTCTGACAGAGGTAGAAATGTTCAGAATGTTGAGGTCTACTTACTCCCTGTTTACACCAAAACTGTCAGATTACTTCTTATAGGAGTTATAGTACGTTTTTTAACTATTTTTTTCATTATTATAAGAAAGGAGTTGTGGCATGATTGCAAATAAGACAAATATTCCACGGGTAGTAACGTCGTCATATCGAGGAGCGTTTAGCACTGTGATTTTGTCATGATTTTGTCCAGTTGGTCATGGTTTTGTTAGATCAGTCCTCCGAACGGTTGTCTTAGTTCTCTACAAATAAGCATATAAAAAGTAAATAAGATGTTTGATTCAATGTTTTACAACAAACTTTCAATATTTGAATTGTGATTGAAAATTCAGTAATGCACGCATGATATCGAAATTTGACATGGTTTGGTTTAGATATTGACGTGGTTCGGTTAAGTGATTCAAATTTTGTCATGGATTTGACTCACATTTGTCATGGTTTGAATAAAAATTGATACATATCAATTTCACGAAAATATTGATAGTTTGTTCAAATGCATCGTATAAAAAAAACACATTTACACATTGTATCAAATGACTAATTAGATGGCTTTGATCGATGAACCCCACATACAAATCTTATTTATAGTTGGTATCCAAAGATGTCATAGGTATGAGTAATACACAACTTGGAATCGGCCCTGTCCTAAATTCGTCTGTGATTCCATTCAATGGAACTCCTTTTCGCCTAATATAATCTCCGAATGTTGGTTACGAATTATGTCAAGGATGTATAGATGAGTGACGGTAAAGACCGGTAAGTTTTGGGTTCTTTAATCCTGGAATCCTTTGAGAAAATATCCCCACCAAGACCTCGGAATGGTGTGTTGATAAGTGAGTTTTTAAACCACCAAGGTGTACACAAATAGACAGATTTGCCATATCTGATCATTTTTATGTACACACTATACCAACCAATGTGCGACTGGGCGAAGTATTTTTGAAAAATTTCACGGTAAGCAGTAAGTAGTCGTTCATATACATTTCTTGTGGCAATTAAGCCATGTCTTTTGTGTTTCTTTTTGCTGTTTTATAAACCTTTATCTTCTGTTTTGGAAGAGGTGCGTCATTCGAAAAATATCAAATAAATCCTCAAATCAACCCAACTTGGCCGGAGAGAAAAAAAAACCACACACACACACATGCATATACAAAAATAGACCCACAAACTAAACATAACAGACAGTTATTACACAAGATTATTCTTGTGTTGTTTTTCTATAGTGTATTTTCATTTCAAAAATGGTTAAGAACAAACATAGTTACGACTTAGATTACAATTCCCTATAAAAATTACAACTTCACGAACTTCTATAGATTTTCCGAATGTGAATAAAAATGTGAGGCGCTATTAAAGTTAACTACACTGCAACCAAACGACAAAAACAACAGCTATAGATTTAAATCATTTTAATAATTATTTCCTTTTTTATCATTTGTTCATCTATCTCACTAACTGTATTTCATATGACTTTTTGTATGATTTACTTGTATGAATTACATAACTGAACCATGACGAACATGGACCAAACCATGGCATTACTTAACCAAACCATGACACTTAATTTTCATAAATATTAAATTATTTGCTAAAGTGGCTATTCTTTTCAGAATCTTTAAAAAGCAATTGTAAATTATAACAAATAAAGTGCTGTAACACGCAGAAAAAGAACATGTAAAAAACAATAACCCAACTTTAAAAATAGTCGCTATAGATTTAAATCATTTTAATAATTATTTCCTTTTTTATCATTTGTTCATCTATCTCACTAACTGTATTTCATATGACTTTTTGTATGATTTACTTGTATGAATTACATAACTGAACCATGACGAACATGGACCAAACCATGGCATTACTTAACCAAACCATGACACTTAATTTTCATAAATATTAAATTATTTGCTAAAGTGGCTATTCTTTTTAGAATCTTTAAAAAGCAATTGTAAATTATAACAAATAAAGTGCTGTAACACGCAGAAAAAGAACATGTAAAAAACAATAACCCAACTTTAAAAATAGTCGTACGCAAGCATTATATGTCTCATATTATTACATATCAAATAGAAAAAAATGCACCTACAAATATGTATGAATATAATTTTTCCCACAGAAAGGGGACCGGGCCCTGGATCCGCTTATGCTTAAAATCTTCGAATCCCTTAAACCAATTTATAGATTTTCCTTTAAAATGAAATATTGTTGCTACACATAGTATCAACAGAGACATATAGTACAATATGTCTCTGGTATCAAGCACAGTAAAAAGGTTACTATAAAAGAAAAAATAACTAACAAAAAAATTAGAAAAAGGTGGGCCCATTCCCCACCAAGAGCCTGCTGGGACTATGCCATGCCAGGCGCCTGTGGTGATTAATAAACTTTGAAAAATATCTCAGCCCGTCCGGCCGTCTATAATCTGCTATTTTACCAATATTTTGATTTCTCTTGGGAATCAAACTTATTGAGTATACCACTAGAGATATCCTATAGGATAGATATCCTATAGGATTGCCTATCGCCGGTATGGGTATGTAATTATAAGTTGTTCCAAAGAGTTATGTTCCGCTGACTGAAAAGTTCAATTATCCGTAATAGAAGTTGATGACAAATGACTTAATTTCTCTCCTGGTGTGTCATTTTTATGTTTGAAAAGTTTTATTTCACCGTCCTTACATTTTTTACATATTTCTCACCTGTACGATTACAGGTAGAAACGTATATCGAAGGTGAAGGACGTTACTGGAGAAAAGTTGAAGTTCTAAAGCAAAGGATGCAATCATGAAAAAAGTTTACTGGTGGTAGTGCATGAAATAAACGACAAGTCACTGGTGGTCAAGTATTTGTAAATTAACGAAGCTTTGAAAATCTTTAGCTAACAAATATGCGACGAAAAAACAAAAATCGTGAATCGGAGATTGTAAACACTGAGTCAAGGGACACAACTCTATCAAAACTTCTAGGTGTTTATATACTCGTTTGTTTTGTTGTTTCTGCATCTTGGGCCATTGGACATTACCAGTGTTCATTTTTGTGGGTATTTTTGTTGATCAGTGGGTTGTTTGTATTATGGAAGACCAAACTAACGAATATTGTGCAAAACAGAATGTACCAAGAGGAACTAAGAATTCACAGAAAGAGAGCACTGAGACAGAGTGAAACAGCAGAATGGCTCAACTTTATTATAAATAGATGGTAAGGAATATCTAATAGAATATTAAGCTATTTTTTAACGCGTATGGAATCCTAAATTTATACTAGCATACCAGAGACAGTTTGTATTAGTATACTGTAAATTCAGAAATTATTGTGAGGTTTTTATTATTGCGACAAATGCGACAGAGTTGTAAACTCAATAATTTAAACTCGCATTTTGAAATATTTTATATGAACTAAACAGGATTTTTCTCAAAATCATAAAAATTTAAATCGCATTTAATTCTAAAATGACAAAATCGCAATAATAAATGCACGCAATAATTTCTGAATTTACAGTATAATTATGTTCTGCATGCTTTGTCCTGTTTATATACATCTTACCGCTATTTAGTCCTATCCGGAAAAAAACCAGTTGGACAACTTCCCAGGTCAAGTGTCACAAAAAAAAGGTCATTAGTAATGAGCTGAAAGAAGAAAAAGGTTTAGAAAGTGAACACTTAAAAATTTTGATAGATTAAATCCAATTTTTTGAAACACAATTATAATTAAAGTCATAAAAGTGCTTTGTTTGAAGTGTTTTATGGTGGTTTAAACCTGTCTCTTTGACAAGTTTTATGCACAATACATTGTTTAAACAGGGCCCCAGAAAGCTTCAACTGGATTGTGAGGTCATGCAAAAGTTGTGTAATTTCATAACTATCCGAATATTGGAATAAATAGCGATAAGGTGTATTACTCAAATAGAAGATACTTTATTCAAAACTAATGGGCTCACAAGGGGCAACATGAGATTATCATAATAAACAAACAATTAAACAAATACAAAATAACAATACTGAAGGAAAAAATTGCTTGATTGATAAAATATAAAAATGAGAAATGAAAAAAACCGCAGAAACTTCATACATGTATATTATTAATGATGATTAATGTGTCTGGTACATGTACATATACATGAATATGTTTTATATGTACATGTATTTGTTCATTTTGTTACTATTCTATGATTGATTATGTTATGTTTTTTTTTTTTATCTAAATCAGTTAAAAGAGCTTATACATGTATATATAGAAATAATTTTCTATGTTATGCATTATACATTGCATATATAATAGACCTGACTTAAAAAGCTCACATGTAACTTAAAGTTAATGAAAATAATATAAATTTAGAGTAAGGTTTTCTTATACAATTGGCAATAACATCATAAGAACATTAGTTCTTTAACCGACTGATATATAACTACATAACAAAATCAAGCCTAGAATAGCAGCAAATACATATATTATAAAACACATACAAGCAATAAAGGTTAATTATTCCAACGTTTATATGTTTATTCATATTGATATACTAATTAAAGACCTGTGATCACTAGCTAATAGCCTTAATCATTTGATTTGTGTAAAAACATCTGAATGTATATATGCCAAGGGATGTTAAACCGTAAAAGTACTAATGTATGAGAAATATATCATTATTGCACCTACATGTATACTTGACCACCTTGGATCTGCCATTGATATTTGCCTTGTTACTGTGTTCTGCCTGAGGGTTCATTGGATGTTTCACCTTTGCTAGACTGTTTACATGCCCGGTTTTTCCTATGTTTTAAACCCTAATTTCAAGATTTTTAAAGTCCCTTGCCTAACTACCACCCTCCCCATGATGTTGCAGTTCTCTGTTTCTAAATACAAATTTTATCTGTACCGATATATGTCCTTATATCAACAGGTTCTTAAATTATCTAGTTTTATAGATATAAATTTATTTTGCTGCAGTCTTAGAGTTTCATACATGTATTTGAATGTTACATACATGTATATATGATCATTATAAACATTTTACTTTCAGGTGGGTGTTTAATGCTGATACTATTGAAGAAGTAGTGAAGAAGAGACTTGAAGACAGATTATATGCAATAAAACCTTCTTATTTAGGTAGCATCAATTTACTTCATATTATTCTATTATATCTTTGTTATTGAATTATAAAGTTTCTGAATGTTTGTTTGTCATTGTATTTCAAAGTATTAGTATGGTAGTGTTTTTCACTATAAACATGAGTATAGACCAAATTTATTCAATTTTCTCTTTTATAAATATTCTTATTTTCAAGGATTTATATAGTGCTAATAGTACTGTATAAATCCTTGTGTGAGTGAATTAAATATCTGGCAGTCCTTCGAAAAAATAGAACTATTCAATTAAGAGAAAAGTAAATGTAATTGCAATAAATTAAGATTTTAAAATTTAAGTTACTGTATATATCATGTATATAAATGAATGTACCCCGTAATCATTTTTGTCTGTTCAAAACAAAAAAATTTAACAAACATATCAATATCTGTTATTATATTATTACAAAAAAAAAAACATGAATTGTGTAGTGAAATATGAAAACATAATCTTTATCTGCTGGATGTTGAACAATCATTCATACATCCATCTTAATCTTTATTGCTATACAAGGGAGATAATTTTCACCTCACTATTATTTCTAATATTGAGTTTTCTAAATTTTTTAATTATTTTATTTATAGATAAACTTAATTTAGAAGTCTTTACTTTTGGTGACCACACTCCCTCCATAAAATATGTCCGTACCTTTGAGTACATGGATGGAGTGCCAGGAGGCAGAAAACCAGTTTCATGGGTTAATATTAACACACCACCTACAGGACTTGACAGAGTGTCATCATATCAACTTGTATGTGAAGTTGATACTCAAAATCTATTGGACCAGTTCCAGATGGTATTTGCTGCTAGAGTGGGTCAAGGAAGGTAGAAATAGTTTATCTAAATTTTTAAATGAATATTATACTGGAGTTTCATAGTGTACCAATTTTGATAATTGTTAGTTTCTGGGGTTGAATACGAATTATCTAGAAGTTTGTACAATTTCATAATATACAGTTTTTAGATCACCTGGACCAAAGGGCCAGTGTGAGCTGTTTTCATCAGGTGGCATCCTTTGTTAACGTTTACAAAAATCTTCTCGTCTCAGACTACTGGGCAATTTGGAGCAAAAGTCAGTTGCAATCATCCTTAGAGGCTTAGATCATCTAGTTTAAAAAAGATTTTTGATGATCCCACCTACAAACAAACATGGCCACCATGTTTAAAAATAGAACATACAAGTGATCATTTAAAATCTTACAATCTTTATCGATAGAGAAGACATGATGTGACAAAAATGTTCACTATGATAATATCTACCTACTGTCTATTTTTAACTAATGGTGCATAAGACTTTCACATTTTTGTCTATAATCAAGAAAACTACAATAAATAGATTAACTTACAGCTTTTCTATAAAAGCATGCAAAGCAAACCTTTGATCAACTTGCTTGCTATGTTTGTTTGGATGTTTGTAAACAACAGGTAGGTAGTCTATTTCAGTCTGTTTACTATATACTGGAATTTGATTGGACAATAAACATTAACTTCATTTAAATGTTAAGTTTCACATTGTATGTCAATTTTTATTGTCCAATCAAATACCAGTATATATTAAACAGACTGAAACTCTGCCTACCCTTTTGTTTACTAACATCCAAGCAAACATAGCAAGCAAGTCGATCAAAGGTTTGCTTTGCATGCTTTTATAGAAAGGCTGTAAAATGGCAAAAATTATCAGCAAGACAAGATCTACATATAAATTGATAAGGACAAAATCATCAGTCAATGTCTTTCAGGAGTTATTACCCTTTAATGACAGTTTTCACCCATTTTTGCATTTTTGACAAAAACTGTTGACTGCGAAAATAAACAGCTAATAAGATCTACAAAGAAGTCTGAATGTCTGAAATAGTCAGACAGCTATTATTTTGAAACTTTAGATTGTAAAAATAATCAGAATTACATAATTTACTAACAAGACAGTACAGTTTACATCTGCAGTCATTTCCTTATTTTTTCCACTTATTGCATTTATGGCATAAACTTTACTTGATAGAGAGAAATTTTTGACAAACAGCAAATAATGATAAGCAAAAGATAAGATCCACAAATAGATTAAAATTAGGAAGTGGTCAGTAACTCCTTAAAGGAGTTATTGCCCTTAAATGATAATTTTTTTTCAAGTTTTAAGAATTTTTTGAAGGCAAGTCCAAGGATTAGTCATTTTTGGCCATGACGAGTCCAACAGTGAGAATATGAAATTGTATTGCTATATAATGTATTATTTCAATCCACAAAACCAAATAGAACTAGGAAAATGACATTCAATTTAGATTTTTTTAGATTTTAGTTATAAAATGATGACATATGCGCTCAGTTGACTCAACATTTTACAATCTTGATGCATCTTTGGACTCACCAGTTTTGAAAAATGATATGTTCATACAGATTTTCATGAGTCCAGGAGTCACAGACTCTCCTTAGTGAGAACACTGGTAATTTTGTTTGTAGTTGGCTACTATAATTCTCAACTGAATGGGTTATAGTATTTAGAAATATTTGTTTACAGGGCCAGTTTAGGATTTAAAATAGCAGTCGAACAACTGAGAATGTCTGGAATTCTACAGATTGTTTTACACATGTCAAAAGACATTCCATTCCCTCACATATCAAAAGCCAGTTTGTCATTCATTGATAAGTAAGTATAAACATTATTTATTATTGGTAATATGTTTTAGCCACTAGTGTTTTTGTTATATACAGTCAGCGAGAGAACATATTGTATACAATATCAGTGTATTTCTGTTTATCTATCCATCTAAAAATAACTCTAGTTAACTTTAACAGTATTTTCATGATCTAAAGACAGTATCCAGTGCAAAATTTAGAAAATATTTTTCACCCCCAATTTCCTGAATTTTACTGATACATGTAAATGGACTTAATTTTTGTTGAAAGTTAAAATTTAGATACAGTCTGGAGTTAACATTTCTTAGACATCAATAACTTTGTCAATCCTTTTAAGAATCTAAAGAAACTTTGGCTGAGTCTTTTTGTTGAGCCTGCAACATTTATGTCATGAAATCGAGACATAGCGATCCTAGATTCCAGCGTCGGCGGCATCAACATTTAGGTTCAGTCTGTGGTTAAAGTTTTTTTAACGTCAATAACTTGGTCAAACCATCATGGAAATTTATGATTAAAATACAGTATCCAGAGCAAAATTTTGAAAATATTTATTTAAAATATATTTTTTCATTTTCAGTATTTTTCTGATAGATGGACTTAGTTTTTTACAGTTAAAATTTACAGACAGTCTTGGATTACATTTTTTTGACATGATAAATTTGTAAACCTTTATGGATGTTATGAAACTTTGACAGAAGCTAATCTTCAAGACCATGAAATAGTATCTAAAGAAAAAGTTTTTTAAAATTCTGTGTTTACTCATAAATGGACTCACTTTTTAAGTCAACTTTACACTTTTACACTGACAGCAGCAATCACATGTGAGACACAGGGTTCTGCCGAACCCCTTACAAATTTTTTATGATAAAAGTTTGAAGCAAAAAATTTGAAATGTTTTTTATTATTTATATAATGATTGAAGAAAAATTTGACTCAGACTAGAAATATTAATTTGTTTACCAGTTGTGTATTCATTTTGCCATTTATCTTTGTATAGACCTGAGGTACAGTTCAATCTGAATGTTCTGAAAGCAGTGAACCTTACAGAGTTACCATTGTTAAAGAATTGGATATATGATCAGGTGATGGATGGATTGGCTAAAGGTAACACTGCTATCTTCTATTCATGATATACTGTGGATTAAATTAATTTTTTTAGTACAAATTTTTGTGAATTGAGTAAAACTTGCATTTTCTTGGATATTTTCTTGGTTTGCCATCTTCTGCATATAAGACTTGAAAATTCATAAATTGTTGAACATTTAATTTCGTGATTCACCTGTACCCAATGAAATCCATAAAAATTGGTATCACAGGAATAAAAATGAATCCACAGTACGTTAAGTATTGTACAAGTATTTGTAGATTTCATTAAAATATAAAGTTCTTGAAGAATATTTAAAGAAAATATCCCTTTAAGTAATTACTTGTAGAAAAAGGCAAGATTAAACGGGCATTAGCTGTCAAATTTATGTTCATTGATTTGACTCAAATTCTCATATTTGATTTAAAACATACTAAAACGTATATCCAAATTATAAAAATTCTAAAATGAATAATTTACGATGCATGTACTCGATAATATGTATCAGCATTTCAAGAGTATTTTAGTCTAGGAACCATCTAATTAACCATCGTGGTGACCTCCGAAGACTACCGACGGTCATATAATCTGATATAAACATAAATATATATAGATAGTGAACACATGCAATTGGATTTTTCTAGGTCTGTTTGATTTCATATTAAAGGTTAAAACAAATGTTAATCAATGTTTTTACCTGTATAAGAATGAGTTTTTGTGGATCGAATCAGTCAACCAAATAGTTTAGCCTTGTTTCACTTTCAATGTTGACATTCTTTTCCTTTTAATAGCTGAACACGCCTTGTTTATGCGTAACACATCTCCTGCCAAGGGGTTAAATTGAAGGTCACATGAATACGGATTCAATGAGGTCGAATTATTCACTTGCAAGTTAATAATACATCAGCAATGTTTCTTAGCTGATTTTGAAAAAATTGAACCAAACTGGCTGCTAAAAGCCAATTGTTATTTAACTATTTCACTTTCATTAATGATTGAACCAAAAAAAAAATCATATTTTAATTTTTTTTATAATTTGTAGCTAATGCCCCTTTAGCATAACTTATTGTATTCGCTTTGAAGCCTTCAATACCTCTTCTTTTGTTTTAATTATAGCTGTATAAGGACAACTGTTTAAACAATGACAAACAAGTTAATAACCTGATGTTCAGTGGTTGTTGTTTGTTGATGTGGTTCCTTAGTGTTTTTCGTTTCTCGTTTTTTATAAAGATTAGACCGTTGGTTTTTCTGTTTGAATGGTTTTACACTAGTCATTTTTGGGGCCCTTTATAGCTTGCTGTTCGGTGTGAGCCAAGGCTCCGTGTTGAAGGCCGTACTTTGACCTATAATGGTTTACTTTTACAAATTGTGACTTGGATGGAGAGTTGTCTCATTGGCACTCATACCACATCTTCTAATATCTAATTACATTAAATTGTCGTTTCAGCCATGGTAGATCCTGGACAGATAAACATTCCTATATCTAGAGTCGGTGCTGTACAGTTAAAGAAACCAGGGGGAATCAAAGCACAGAAATTAGGTATATGGTCATTTTATAGTTGAAACTTAACAGAAACAAATGAATTGGTTAACCATTCTAATATTACCAACAAAGCTTATATATTTTAGCAATGGTCTTTTGCACCATAATATGTCTACCAAATTGGAGTATGTATTATCTGTGTTATTTTTCTCCAAAATATACATTGCCAGACCAGAGCACTGATTATGGAGAGCAACAAGCAATAATAAGAGAACAAGTCTCTTTTACAAAATTTGTTCACATTTCTTACATGTTTTTTCTTGACAAAGTAAAGGGTGCCCTAATTTATTTTCAAATTCTGTAATTATTTTAATTATTTACCTAATCAATATTATTATGCAATTTTAATGAATATAGGAATTATCGGTATGAATAAAAGGTGATGTTGGGTAAACATCAACAAGACAGCAACCCAAAGTCATCTACAATGAAAGGACATCTGTGTGTCATTTTCAAGATTAATAATTTTTCTGTTAACACTTTTTTTGCATGTGGTCAATTATATTTCAATATTACCTAGAGCTATTTATAAAATTGACATTTTTTGAAATCCAATTTGCTAAAGTGGAACTTAGGTCAATGTAAGATGAAGTCAGCTTAACCAAGTTGTATCATCCGAACATTTAAACAACTAAGAAGAGTCTTCAAAAAGTTTAATTCAAATTAAAAATTGTGAACACACAAACTATTCAGGCTGTACATAATGTTTATCCAATCAATTCAGTATGAAGTAAAATATATGATTTTTGATTTTTTGGCTTACAGCACAAGGAGTTCTGACGATACATATTGTAGGGAATCCAATAAAGAATGGAGGTATTTTAGTATTTATTACGTAATATAAACAACAATTTATAGTGATAAGAATATTAATGTGAAGTTATTGATTTTTAAAATTAATCATTAATGTGTAATATAGTGTATCTAGACAATTTCCATGTGTATTGACAAGGTCTATCACAAATAGATAGATTTAATTGCACTTTGGATTTTTGTCATTTATTTCATAAAAAAAGTAAAATAACAAAAATACTGAACCTCAAGGAAAATTCAAAATTGTAAGTCCTTTATCAAATGGCAAAATCAAAAGCTCAAACACATCAAACGAATGGAAAACAACTATCATATTCCTGACTTGGTACAGGCATTTCCTTATATAGAATGACAGAATCCAGACTTGAACCTTTATTATGGTATTCATAGGTTTAAGTGATCTGTACAGATATGTAATCTGCTCATAGCTTCAAGTGAACACTATTTTTATCATGTAAAAAAAAAAGAGAATAGATTGAGGTCATTTTGTATTTAACTATATATAGGCATTAGACGTAAATGAAATAAGAAACCAAAACTGACCAAGTTTTTTTTTAAATTGTAGATACTGAAGATGTGCGTTACTCTACATTAAGACTTGGAGAACAGAAACGTACAACACATGATGAGTTGGCCATCAATGACTGGGATGATATCTGTTCATTCTTTGTTTATGATCTCAAAAAAGAAAAGGTACGATATAATGTTCCACACAAGGATCCGGAAATTTTTCCACACAATTTCGGTCATTTTGAGATGATTGAAAAGTTGGTGCCCCTTTCCAAATAATTTGTCGATGTCAACTTGAGTCTTGACTAGATTCCTAGCATCAACGAACTTGTATTGCTGTTTCATTGCATTTACTAAGTAAATGTCTTACCATTACCATGAAGAACAGTTTAGGGAAGGCAATAGTTTAAAATTGAAATGATTTTAATGACTCAAAATGGTAAATCTCTCAGACATTGCTTATGTTTCTTTCGATTTGACAAAAGTTAAAACCGGAAGTTTGCGATAAAGTTAAAGTACGAATAATTCCGGATTCATTTCCGGGATTTGTTTTGTTTATCAAATTGACAGGCTTTTTATGTTTTTTTTTATTTTATTACCTTTAATAGTGTTTGAATGTAACAGACAATAGTTGCACTCGTTTAATTTAGCATGAAATCAATTTGCATTTTTCGATTAAATATTAAATTTGCTGAAGACAATTTCACGCATGCGTATTATATAGTAAAATAAGCACATGAAAAAATACTTTTTTCTCCGTAAATTTAGGTTTAATTTTTAAATCAGATTTGATGATTGTCTTTGCTGAAAAGTAATTAAATAATGAATACACTTGTCAGGGAATTTCAATTTTTGTTAAGATATTATTCTTAGCTTGTGATCGCTGTCAGGTGTGAATTAAAACCACATGTAAAAAGTGATTAGCGATCATTAGCCAATGTTTCCCGGAGGCATTGATATAGATATTAGGAGGGCCCTCAAGATTATCAAACTACTGGAGTGGCAGTTTTATTACAGGAAAGGGATTATAAACAAAAACAAGTGATCACAACTTACACAAGACAGTGCAAAATGGCGATTAAGAAATCCGATTTCAAACATTGAGTCAATGAAATGACCGAAATTACTTCTTTAAAAAAATAAAATTTGTCCTAAATCCCAATTACTCGTTTAGGACAAATAGTTTCATCTTAGGACATGACTGGCATATATGACCGTTTCCGGACCCTTGGTTCCACATAAAGATGTCAATGACATCACTATAGTCACAAAAAATATATTGTTATTACTTTTAGGAGTAATAAGCATACATGTATATGTATAGGTTATCTGTATGTGTTTTGATGGACATTTTTGGCCTGGTTGGACATATTTTAATAAAGTAATGAAATTTTCATTTCTCTACTTTGTTAGTCTTTATTGCAATGTAAAAGTTTAAGTATGTATAGAATGTTTTTCCTTTAAAACTGAATGTTTTTTATCCACTGAATATTTATTTATTTTGAAAATGAAAATTTTATTTTTCAGATAACATTAAAAAGTAAATGTCACAGACTGTTGAGTAATGTCACACTACAACAACATGTAATAGAGTTGTCTTCCTTACCATTTAATCTACAACAAAAGTAAGTACATATATTACATCTTAACTTACCAATTTTTTGGCTCCAAAGAGTTAAAAATTAAATCAGAAATGCTGAATGAGAGGAGAAGATGCTTTAGATGTATATGTATTTTACTTTGATTAATTATAACTGGGTCTATACCACTGCTAGTGAAGTCCCTGAAAGGAAACTTTTACCCAGTACTCAACATTGCAGGCATTTGTTATGATTTATTATTTTCCTGTGACTTAAATAGCTAAAGGTACAGCATATTCATTGTAATCAGACAGTGACATTAAATGATTGAAAAACTTGAATAAAGCTTTATATTTCAAAAGTTTGAATATAGATATTTTGTACAGCAGTTTCTGCCTTTATGCCTTTATGCCATCACTGATTGCCATTATGAGTGTAATAATGTATTCTTGCACACACTAGATCACATTGATCATGTGGAAATCTGAATGAGCAAGTTAAGACTTTTTCATTGCCATTTCATTCTTTAGTTATTTCCTGATGAAGTCAAAATATTTTTTTGGGGGGTAGTTTTTGTCGAGCCTGCGACTTTTGTCGCAGAAAGCTCGACATAGGGATAGCGATCAGGCAGTGGCAGCGGCGGCAACGTTAGCTAACTTCTTAAAAGCTTTATATTTTAGAAAGTAGAAGACCTGGATGCTTCATACTTTGTATATAGATGCCTTATGTTATGAAGTTTCCGTCTGTCATATGTCCATTGTCCTTGACCTCATTTTCATGGTTCAATGACTACTTGAAAAAAAGTCAACATTTTTTGTAATGATAATTTCTTTCTTATTATGAGTAATAGGATAACTATATTTATTATGTGCGTACCTTGCAAGGTCCTCATGCCTGTCAGACAATTTTCATTTGACCTTGACCTCATTTAATGGATCAGTGAACAAGGTTAAGTTGTGGGTCAAGTCCATATATCAGATACTATAAGCAGTAGGTCTACTATATTTGGTATATGGAATGATTGTAAGGTGAACTGTCCAACTGGTAGGTGTCATCTGCCCTTGACCTCATTTTCATGGTTCAGTGGTCAAAGTTAAGTTTTTGAGTTTTGGTCTTTTTTTCTAATACTATATGCAATAGGTCAACTATATTTGGTGTATGGAAATATTTTATGATGTACATGTCAGTCTCGCAGGTTTTATTTGACCTTGACCCCATTTTCACAAGTCATTTCTCAGTGTTTAGTTTTTATACGACCGCAAAAAAATTTTTGTGGTCGTATATTGGTATGACGTTGGCGTCGTCCGGCGTCGTCCGAAGACACATTGGTTTTCGCACTCTAACTTTAGTTTAAGTGAATGGATCTCTATGAAATTTTACCACAAGGTTCAATACCTCAAAAGAAAGGTTGGGATTGATTTTGGGGGTTATGGTACCAACAGTAAAGGAATTAGGGGCCAAAAAGGGGCCAAAAATAAGCATTTTTGTAACTTCCAGACATAACTTGTGTGTTAGTGTATGGATCTCTGTGACATTGTACCACAAGGTTCCATATCACAAAAGGAATGCTGGGATTGATTTTGGGGGTAATTGCCTCAAAATTTTAGGAATTAGGGGCCAAAAAAGGGGCAAAAAACAAGCATTTTTCTAGTTTCATGACAATAACTTGTGTGTAAGTGTATGGATCTTTCTGAAATTGTACTACAAGGTTCCATATCACAAAGGGAAAGCTGGAATTGAGTTTGGGGGTAATTGCCTAAACGTTTAGGAATTGGGGGCCAAAAAGGGGCCAAAAAACACATTTTTCTAGTTTCCAGACAATAACTTGTGTTCAAGTGTATGGATCTCTCTGAAATTGTACTGCAAGGTACCATACCACAAAGGGAAGGCTGGGATTGATGATGGGGGTAATTGCCTCAATATTTTAGGAATTAGGGGCCAGAAAGAGGCAAAAAACAAGCATTTTTCTAGTTTCATGACAATAACTTGTGTGTAAGTGTATGATTCTTTCTGAAATTGTACTACAAGGTTCCATATCACAAAGGGAAAGCTGGGTTTGAGTTTGGGGGTAATTGCCCTAAACGTTTAGGAATTTGGGGCCAAAAAGGGACCAAAAAACACATTTTTCTAGTTTCCAGACAATAACTTGTGTTCAAGTTTATGGATCTCTCTGAAATTGTACTGCAAGGTACCATACCACAAAGGGAAGGCTGGGATTGAGTTTGGGGGTGATGAATCATAAGGGGGTTCAAAAAATTTGGGGGGGGGGTTCCTTTTTATACGCCCGTTTATGGGACGTATTATGGTATACCTCTGTCTGTCCGTCCGTCTGTCCGTCCGTCGTCAACATGTCGGACATTAACTCAAAAATGCTTTAACCAATTTGCATAAAACTTTGGTGAATTGTTTATATCTATTGACGTGAGCTCCCTTTCGTTTTTTATAAATTTTAGATTTTATGTTTCAGAGTTATGGGGTTTTATTCATTAAAAAAAGGGGGATTTTCCAATTTTCGGACAATAACTCAAGAATACTTTCACCAACTTGCAAAAAAATTGTGGTGAATTGTTTATATCTATTGACATGAGCTCCCTTTCGATTTTTATAAATTTTAGATTTTACGTTTCCGAGTTGCAGGGTTTTATTAAAAAAAAAGGGGGATTTTCCAGTTTTCGGACAAATACTCAAAAATGCTTTCAGCAGTTTTTATGAAAATTTGGTGAATTGTTTATATCTATTGATGTAAGCTCCCTTTAGAATTTTATAAATTTTACATTTTACATTTCTGAGTTATGGGGTTTTATTCATTAAAAAAGGGGGATTTTCCAGTTTTCTGACAATAACTCAAAAATGCTGTCAGCAATTCCCATGAAACTTTGGTGAATTGTTTATATTTATTGATGTAAGCTCCTTTTGATTTTCATAATTTTCTAATATGACATTGAGAATTAATTGAACTTTATTTGTTTATAGTCTGACAACAGATTTACTAAGTATTGCGCAACAGCACAGTGTATTGCACAACAGCAAGAAATCTTTAATTGAATATAAATTCAATTCATATAACCAATTTCAAGTTCTTTGACTACATTTATTCAGAAACCTGTAATATGTCAAATATTTAATTACAATCCAAATTCAGACCTGTATCAAGTTTGAATATTGTGTCCATTTTTGCCCCAACTGTTCAGGGTTGGACCTCTGCGGGCGTATCCAGCTGCGCTCAGCGAAGCAGTTTATTTTTTCTTTTTTTCCTTTTTTTTTCTTTTAAAATTTTCCATTTTAAGTTGGTTATTTCTGATTTATATTTAAAAGCAAATAATAATGATATGGTAGGAGATACACACCAAACAGGATGTGTAAATTATTATATAATAAGTATTGTGCAATAGCAAGAAATTTTCAATTGCACAGTATTGCACAATAGCAAGAAATCTTCAATTGCACAGTATTGTGCAATAGCAAGAAATCTTCAATTGCACAGTATTGCGCAATAGCAAGAAATATCCAATAGCACAATATTGCGCAATAGCAAGAAATTGTCAATTGTACAGTATTGCGCAATAGCAAGAAATATTTAATTGCACATTATTGTGCAAAAGAAGATACTTCGTATAAATTGCTTATTTCTTGACCAATTTCAATGGGGTTCTTTACTATGCTGAATCTAACCGTGTATTTAGTTTTTGGATTTTGGGCCCCGTTTTTAAATTGGTCCACATTGAGGTCAAAAGGGTCCAAAATTAAACTTTGTTTGATTTCATCAAAAATTGAATTATTGGGGTTCTTTAATATGCCGAATCTAACCGTGAATTTAGATTCTTAATTTTTGGTTCCGTTTTCAAATTGGTCTACATTAAGGTCCAAAGGGTCCAAAATTAAACTTAGTTTGATTTTAACAAAAATTGAATTCTTAGGGTTCTTTGATATGCTGAATCTAAACATGTATTTAGATTTTTGATTATGGGCCCAGTTTTCAAGTTGGTCCAAATCGGGGTCCAAAATTAAACTTTGTTTGATTTCAACAAAAATTGAATATATGGGGTTCCTTGATATGCTGAATCTAACCATGTACTTAGATTTTTGATTTTTGGCCCCGTTATCAACTTTGTTCACATTGAGGTAAAAAGGGTCCAAAATTAAACTTTGTTTGATTTCATCAAAAATTGAATTCTTGGGGTTCTTTGATATGCTGAATCTAACCATGTATTTAGATTTTGGATATTGGACCATAATAGGTGAATGTCCAATTTAAAATTTTTAAGTTCTTAGGTGTAATACCACCATTGATTTTCCCCTATTAGTCTTTGTTAAATTTGCACTTTTCAAAAAATTGTGCAGAATTTATCTTTGTTTCAAATAAAGAAATACTTGGCATGAGTAAAGTTTGATCCTGTCCAGTACTATAGATAAAATTTCACATAACATTTCATTGCATATAAGAAAATAACCATCACTGGAAGTTAACCAATCAAATTTTCCCCCTTTTTTAACCTGTGTACAAGCTTTAGTAACCATGTAACCTCAAGTTTCCAAAATATTCTATAGAAACCCCAAATAAAAAAAAAATGGTACTTTGAAATACCCAAGATATATGTTTATGACCCAGAAATGTTTTACTGCAATGAAATGTAGGATCAATTATCTACAACTGTCAAATTCAAGGGAATATTTTTTTTTCGACCTATTTTCGTATGCAACCGGATGTGACGTACTATGATTTGGTGGTATTACACCTAAAGAAGACTTTTTTGTTAAATTAACTGAATGTGACTTTTTTCCTTTGTAATACTGGTTATTTCAAGCATTCCTGTCAAGTTTTGTCATAATCAGTTCAATAGTTTGAGAAAAATCTAGTATAATGTAAGACGACATCTACAGCGATTCGAGCTAAATTTCTTCGAAAAATCCAAACCAAGCCGCATCATGATAGAATATAGTGTGGACCAATAAATGATCAAATATTTATCTCATCTGCCTACAAACAGTTGAATATGATACAAAAGATGACTTTAGGATGATAAATACTACTAATGGACCTCTTTGTCTTCTTTATAATGTCTCTTTTGGTCCATTTATACCTCTCATTTCCTCAAAATTTCTACTTTATAGGCCAATAAATAAAAATTTTGGGGTAACTTTCACTCATTTATGATAGAAATGTTATAATAAATGATTAATTGAAGTATTCAAGCTAAATGAACAATCCGTATAAAAGTTTACTGTCTCCAAGGAGGTTTCCATAAGTCCTTACGTAAAACTTAAATTTACACCGCATTCCAGAGAGGGACATAAAAAGCTTCTCTTTTGGTGAATAATTTGTTGTTACTGCTTTAAAAATAATTTCCTTTACTTAAAACTATATATTTATTAAAGTATTTCTTAGGAAAAATTTTCTAGTATAGCAGAATATAAGAAAAAAGGAGAAAAAGCTCCCCAAAACTCTAAGTATGGCTTATTCTGTCAACTAATATTCATGGTAAAGTCCTATTTCAAGGACATTTTCTCATAAAATGTGTTTTGGAGACTCAATCCACTCAGAATATTTCATTATTAGTAATATTTCACTTAAATAGCAAGAAATTTTAACACATGAGAGTACTCACAAGGTCAAAGGTGCATGTACAGCTTCCCATTATTAGGTGTAATACCACCATTGATTTTCCCCTATTAGTCTTTGTTAAATTTGCACTTTTCAAAAAATTGTGCAGAATTTATCTTTGTTTCAAATAAAGAAATACTTGGCATGAGTAAAGTTTGATCCTGTCCAGTACTATAGAAAAAATTTCACATAACATTTCATTGCATATAAGAAAATAACCATCACTGGAAGTTAACCAATCAAATTTTCCCCCTTTTTTAACCTGTGTACAAGCTTTAGTAACCATGTAACCTCAAGTTTCCAAAATATTCTATAGAAACCCCAAATAAAAAAAAATGGTGCTTTGAAATACCCAAGATATATGTTTATGACCCAGAAATGTTTTACTGCAATGAAATGTAGGATCAATTATCTACAACTGTCAAATTCAAGGGAATATTTTTTTTCGACCTATTTTCGTATGCAACCGGATGTGACGTACTATGATTTGGTGGTATTACACCTCTTAGACCACATTCATTCTGTGTCAGAAACCTATGCTGTGTCAAATATTTAATCACAATCCAAATGCAAAGCTGTATCAAGCTTGAATGTTGTGTCCATACTTGCCCCAACTGTTCAGGGTTCGACCTCTGCGGTCGTATCAAGCTGCGCCCTGCGGAGCATTTTATTGTGTTTTGGTCTGTTTTTCTTCAACTATAAGCAATAGATTAACTATATTTGTTGTATGGAAGGATTGTAAGGTGTATATGTCTGTCTGGCAGGTATCATCTGACCTTGACCTCATTTTCATGGTTCATTGGTCAATGTTCAGTTTTCATGATTAAGTTTGTTTCTTAGATACTATAAGCAATAGGTCAACTATATTTAATGCATAAATTTATTGTAAGGTGTACATGTCTGTCTGGCATGGTTCATCTGACCTTGACCTCATTTTCATGGTTCATTGGTCAATGTTAAGTTTTCTTGGTTAAGACTGTTTCTTAGAAACTATAAGCAATAGGTCAACTATGTTTGGTTTATTGAATGATTGTAAGGTGAACATGTATTTCTCGTTTTGTTTATCTGACCTTATGTGTTACTTGTAGTAAAGCTTTATATTTAGGACTATCAACATAAAATCAATGGTTAGTAAAGGAGGCGAGACATTTCAGCATGTGCACTCTTGTCTTTCATATTGAAAGTAATTTAATTTGATTGAAAAATCCATAGCTAATGTATTTAAATGGATTGAAATATAGATGCGGTGATCTGCCAAATACCCAGCTTACAGTTATGTGAAATAAAGTGTGAATAGCTTACATGTACATTTAATTTAATGCATAAGACTGGTAAATGAGTAATTCTTTGACAACGAAAACAATTTTAACTAAATGACTCAGTTAATATTATCTTACATTGTAGTAAATAGAAATTGATACACAAATATTTTATTGTTACGATTTCAGTGTAAATACAACCATAGAGAATACTGATGGCAGTACATATGAATTAAAGATGCAGTATACAACACTTCCTCAGATAGATTTAGAAAAACCACCAGATATACAACAATTTGAAAACAGTAAGTTTCTGTGTAATATTACTAACAATTTATCAAGATAAACATTTCATTCATAAAATCAGGAAGAAGATAAATGTTGTAATTACTTTTCAAAATTTATATCTATTTGCTTTTGTACGTAAAAATGTATTATATACTTTAATACTGAATTGATGAATTGAATAAAACAATATGCATGTATTGGGGGAAAACATTGTATAAAAAAAATAATTTTTGAATCATTCATTTTTGTGGAATAAGGAAAAATTTTATTCTCACAGATACTTGATTTTATAGTTATTACAAATTCTGCATACAAGCCAACAGGAAATGTGAAATATGTTGCAGACTTTAATTCATGGTTTACCAATGCCAAAGATATCCACATTAAAAACTACCCTACAAATAATAATGAATCCACAGTATTTGTATAAACTGCTGAAATAGGAAGTAAAGCATTTCTCCTGTTTTGTAATGAGCAAGAATATACTCAAATGACCATCATGCATTATTCTTTATTTGTAAATTTATGTTTTGTTGTTTTTAAAAAATATGACAGATATTTGATCAAGACTGCAAGGAGGACTCCAAGATTATATTTTTCTTTGTAGAAAAATAAGAAATGAACTTTTATAAACTTTTCCATATGAAAAATATGGAACACCATATAAAATATTCTTTCAAGTTTTCTAAGTATGAACAATAACATGCTTTTAAGCTTATATGCTGAATCAATATGCCTTTATTTTAATGTTGTAATTTAACTTTTTTTCAGAATCAGGTGTAATGTATATATGTATCCATGGAGCCAGTAACTTGATAGCTTCAGACAGAAATGGAACCTCTGATCCTTATTGTGTAGCATTCTGTGACAGGAGAAGAGTAAGTTATGGAGAAATATTTATAAGTCTATCTATAACATCCTTTTCTGTTAAGGTACTTAAAAGAGTAGATTCAATAAGGCCCCAATATCTATTTCTAGCTAAAATTGCAAATTAAGATTTGTTGGCCATTATTGCAATGAGTCATAGCTCAAACAATGACTAGATAGGAAATTGGTCTTTTTATTGAAAATTTACATATTAGTTTTCTCTTCATGACACCACGAAAAGCACAAATTTTGGTTTTCCACAAAATTCAATGAAAATAGATCTATTTCTGTTGATTTTTTATGCCTGAAACATATTGCACATAGGTAGACAAAAAAATCTTTTAACATTTGGTTTGTTAAATCAAATTAGCTATCTGACTTGAAATTCTGTTTTGTCTTACCCTACTCTATGTTTCCTAAGCCTGAATGTGGAAGAAATCCAGATGATTTTGACCTATTTGGGGTGTAAATGTCAAAGTTTTATAAGAACAACTCAGCAAAATAGTTCTATTTCCCTTCCTTACATGTCTGTTTATCAACTTAAAATGCTTTTTATCTTGCATTTTTCCATAGACTTTTCTTTACAAAACAATTTTATCAATTTTCTAAATCAATATATATTTATATGTTTTTAAACGTTTTGCTTTATTTTTTGTTGTAGTTACTAACTACACCTTTCGTGAAGAATACATTAACTCCAAGATGGGATTCTAGTGTGGAATTTTTTGTCAAAGATTTTACAAATGTAAGTACAACCCAGTTTACCTTTGTTAAAATCTATGTTTTTAATCAATTAAATCTATATTTCACTGATTTTCTCAAAATACTTTGGAAGAAATGACAGTGGAGTAATTTTTTGTTCAGAGTATTTGATTTCCAAAACTAGTATATATATACCAGTATGTTTGCAATATAAAATTAAGTTAAAGTTCAGTCTTTTCATCATTAACAAGTTTTAAATCATGAAATCTAGGATCCACAGAATCATTTTTTTACAAATAAAAGTACTTCCATGGTGTTGAATGTTAGAACCATATGTTATTTTTATAAGAGATTTTTAATTGTGTGTGTCTTTATTTGTTTAAAGTAACATTGAAAACAACTCAAATACTGCATTGGAGGCACTTTTTTGTCAAACCTTCATTGAGAACTTTTAGGAAAAATTTCTAAAATAAAAATTATCAGAATGAAGTTATGGTTTATTTCAGGTTATGCTGTCCTTTTATGTCTTTGATTGGGATGGAACCAATATTATAGAAGATGACTTCTTAGGATCAGCTTTCTCTACAGTGTCAGAGGTAATTAATATTAAGTCAATGTACAGAAGGACAGCAGGTGTTTATTTGAGGTAACAAATAGTTTTCTACCAAACAAATATTGTGAGTGAAGGTTAGACTGTTTTATAACTGTTTGTACAGTAATAAACAGATCCATATAGAAAATATAAATTAGAAAAAAGTTCTCAGTCTTATAAAAATATAATATATCTGTTATAAATATAATAAATATTTCACTTGTTGTTAAAATATTATAATGGATACACATTTGACCCTACTGGATACTAGCAGTAGGTCAAAAATATGATGTGACGAATGAGGATTAAAATTTTAAACTCATTTGACCCTAGCCAAACCAAAATTGGTGTGCTTGACTTTGATAATATCTATTATATATTTTCATTCTTTTATCAAACAGCTCATTTTCTTTGTACTCAATTTGAAAAGTGAAATTGGACATTTCTTATAATCTGATCATACTAAATAACTTTCATAAACAGAATAATACTAAAACCTAGTTACTAAAATCTGTTGGTATTCAACAAACTCAAATATTTTATATATATGCAGTGTAACTAGTGATTCTTGTGTTAAATGCTGACAAAATGTTTTAGATGAGTTTGTGTTGGAGCAGATGATATTGTCCTTATAACAAATGATTACAACGTCAAGTAGTTGTTTTATAACAAACATGATTAACATGAGATTTTGTCAGAATCAATTTACATTTCAAATCACATAGTGATGTGTAAATTATGCCTTGTCTAGGTTTTGTCAAAATGTGCATGATTTATACACATTTAAAATTGCATAATAATGCTCAATAAAAGTAACAAAACACAATTAGTGATAATGTTTTTTATTTTGTAGTATTAAAGTTGATAAATAAAAACAGTGTATTTATTTGTTGTTTGTTTATTATATTACATGCTCACAATTTACCCATGTCAACATATTCTTTAAACCTATGGCTTTATGATTTACTCCAGAATTATATAAGCATAGTATTTATTATTAATTTACTTATATTGAATGAGGACTTGCTTCTTACAAATTGATTGTGGAAATAAATTTCAAAAATTTTGTAAAAAGTATATGCACTAGAGCTTGTTTCCATATAGGCCAAAATTCACTTAGTTTTATAATGTTGAGAAAAAGTCCAATTAAGTGACAATATGATATTTTTTAAATAACTTGAGGCGATAGCAATAAATTGAATAATTGCAACCATCTGATCTATTTTGGTAAATGTAAAAATTCAATATACCAGCAAACAGTTACATTTTATAGGTTGAACAAATTCAAATAAATTGTTAATAAAAAAAATGTTTTCAATTATTTACCTATAGGAAGAACCTGTAGTAATAAAGAAACAGTTAACGTTGGGATACAACAAATCATCAGAAGGCTATGTAACAGATGCATCGTATGGGAAGATTATTGTCTCACTAGTGTTTAGACCTGTCACTTCAGTTGAGAAATCAGGTATTCAACCTTTTTATTAGTATCTTTCAATATATCTAGTCCAACTATAAAAACAAATATGACTTATAAAACAGGGAATTAAGAAATACTTGAATAATTTTGAAAAATGGAAATTGATTGTTAGTTTCTGGTCCATAAAATAATTAAACTAAACAGGGTTAGCTATGCATGGCTAATTTGTTAGCAAAGAAATACATATGAAACTAATGTCTCCTTAGTCATGTATGCATGGCTAGCTTCTAAGTCAAATTAGTTTCTGAAGTAAATTATTACTAAATATTCCAGATATCAAAGTTTTCTATTTTCAAATAAATCCCTGTTAAAGGTCAATTAAACAACTATTTATGATGTTAAGTAGGAACAATTTTAAACAACTATTTATGATATTAAGTAGGAACAATTTTAAACAACTATTTATGATATTAAGTAGGAACAATTTTAAACAAATAGTTTCAACAAAACAATAAGACAGTCATTTAATTATGCGTCCATATCAATGATATTGCTCCTCTTTTAGTCTGAGAAGTGTTGTACCTTGAAAACATTTATTCCTCATTTTTTTTACAGAGAGATACAGGGTAGCAAGCTTAAGTGACAGTGGGAAGAGAGATTACTTGTATAATGAAGATCTTGTATCTCCTTCATCTGCTGTGAGTAAAATGGAATATAGGCTAGATACTTTGTGGAATATTTAAGTGTTGCCTCTATAGTACTGGTAGTTAGCTTTGTATATTCCTAATTAGCTTAACTTTCTATTTAAAATCTCTCACAAAATACTGATAGCTTACACTTTCATAAAAAAAAGTGTGGTGATGCAACATTAAGCAGTCATTACTCAATCAATCAATCAATCAATCAATCAAAATTTAATTCACACAGAATTGCTGTACATATATATATATTACAGATTCCTTATTTGCATTGCTTTAATTTTTAGTGATCAGTTTATTGAAGCTATAGCTGAAAATTGTACTATGGTATTTGCTATAATATAAGTTATTTAAGGGATTAATTATAAAAAAAATCATTAAAGGACTTAATAAACAACATTAAAGTCTTTTGATTTATCTAAACAAAAACTACCAGTATTGTCAAGTCAACACTAACATGGCTTTTTATTATCTTTAATTTTCAGTTGACTTTATATCTTAGAAATGTTGTTTGTTGTATACACTTCAGGAATTAAAATATTTTTACATTGTTCTCGTAAGTAATTTCAAATAGCATCCTAGTACATGTATAGAGGAAATTTGTAACTTGCATCTTGTTTATGTAATTGATTGCATCTGAATGATAAAACCTGAGAGAAGTTCATTTCATATGGGATTCTGTATTCTTTTTCTATAGTGACTGAATATATTTTTCACTGTTGATTATAAATGTCCACAGGAAGTTTATAACTCAAAATGATGACATTCATTTTTACCAAGAAACAGACATAACTTGTAGCAATTAATGTTCTGTAACTTACTTACTTATTGCCTTTTATGCCGTTGGCGTGTAGGGCAGTAATGAAGGTAGCAATTAATGTTCAGTAAATGTTATGTTAAATAATTGCTAAAAAGCAGGTGATTTAATATACTGCTGATATTTTTTAATAACATGTTAAATTGTTGTGTTTTGTTTTAGCCTAGGAGGTTTTATACAACAAACCTGTAATCACTTGTTACTGCTCTTTCCCAAATTTGTTCCTTAAATCATGAATCTGACTGTAAAATTATAATTTGATATAAGTAGTTACATCCTTTGGTATGAAGGACTCTTTTTGGATGAAAATTGATCAGCCCCACCCTTATTACAATTTTTTTTGGGATATTTCAGCAAACATAATAATATGAATAAAATGACCTTGATTTAATTAATGACATGTAAGGATCTGAGAATCATTTCTTATATATGTCTTAGTATTACATTATTATGTGCATCCACCCTTTACCTCTTTTTCAAGTTTTAATGAATTAGCACGTGTCAAGAAGGACTAGTTATTTTATTTTTGTCTTGACAGTATGATACCTCCAGGTTCTAACTTTTGTTTTACATAATCAGTAGTTAACAAATTGTTTATTTCTTAACCTATTGCATGGTTATTCCCCTTTAATGCATGATTCACTTACTAAATATCTCCCACAAATTACAAAAAAAAACATAATTGAAAGTTCTGTATGATTGTCTCTCATTTGAGAGGTTTGCGGGTCTTTTGATAAAAAAATCTTACAAGAAAAACAATTTTAGTCTGAAGATCCTCTTGTCTTGTTGCATTATGTGTAAATGTTAAAAAGGTGATCACTTAAAGATCTTTAAAAAAAGGTTTTTATTTTTTTGCATGAATAACATTGATAATTTTTTATTCTGATCATATATTTATGCTGCTATATTAATTATTCAGCCTACAACATCAAGATCATCATTTCATCGGATTGACCAGGTATACAGTAATCGCAATATCAATGTTTTCCTACAAAATTTTAAATTAAACTTCAAATTGTTACATGTATCCATCTCTAAAATCTGATTTTAAAATGTGTTTTACATACCTTTTTAATGATATAATCTAACAAGTTTTTTAATGCCTGAAAGTAAAGGCATTTCTTATTATTCAAATACATAAAATGGTAAATTAACAATGGAACTTTTTTAAAACAAAGAATGAAAGCCAGACTTGAAAACATTGGTATATATGGTACATGAAGAAATGAATAAATTCCACTAGTAGATTATAATAATGACATTTAGGTACTATTTATTTAACCATATGTAAAAAATATTGCCTTGCATGTGTATTCAAAATAGCATGGATAATAGTACACTTAAAATATATATATTTTATATGGACATTAAAAAAGTGACATTTACCTATGTACACCATTGCATTGATTTAGCTTGTGTTTTTGTTTATGCTGCTTTTTAGCTTACATATTCCAAAAGAGTCAAATGAGTTTTTACTTGGCTTCATTGTTTATTATAAAACATCTGTTGTAAAAATACAAATTATATGGAACAAGTAAAAGACAAAATAATCAATAGCTTTGCAAAGGATGAATTGCCACCCAAATGTAATGATGTCAGAAAAAAAAAATATGATATTCAATTTAAATTATAGTTAATTACCTCAACAACTGTCAAACAAGGTCTTCACATTTAATGGTGCCCTTAATTTTCTCTGCCAGACTCAAAAATTGCTAAAATTAGTCAGTTGTGGTGAATCCCCTTTGGAATTATTTTAGAAGCTCACTCACAATACTTGCTTTGAAACATTGTGTTCTTATTGAGTCAAGGGTACTTATAAAAGCTATTTAAGTGATACAGCTTCCTTTGAACATTTAGTTTCACCTTATAAATAATTGCAGCCTTGGCCAAACATGTACTAATAGTAGTTTCACTGTATGTAAAATTTTATATAGCTGCTTACTATAAACATGGTTAAATGTCACTGTTTTAAAATGGTTGTGTAAAATCTTTAATCATGAATTAAAAACCTTCATTGCTTTGGTATATCTTTTGAAGCAAATTATATTTTTCCATTGAAGAATTTTATTGGAGTTATTTCCCTTAGCTGCCGTGTTGCAAGGCAAACTGATTGATTTTCTTGTTTGACTAACGAAATTTTAACATGTAAGTTTGATAAAAGATCCTTACTAGATCACAATAATGAGTTAAACAAGACTAAAACAAATGAAAATTATTCAGAAAACAACCTTTTTTTAAAGTCTAGCAGTCAATTTAACAAATTTAATTTTAAGGGAATTTCAGCTTATCGCCCATCAACATGTTGACAAAGGGAAATAACTCAACTTAAGTCAATGAAAAACCGTCTTTTATATTCAAGTTAAATGCATGTAAAATTCATTGCAATTTTTTAATTTATTTGCAAATTCCTCATTTTAAATCTCCATTTTATCACTATCATCAGTTAATATTCACTGTTATTACTCATGTTTGTTTCTCATTCATATCATGTTATCAATATCACAATTTTCCCTTCTAAGGAGGAGATAACTCCCACAGAGGTTCATAAAGAGGTAGGATATTGCATGTTCTAAAAAAAGTGTTTGTTTTAATGTATAACATTGTAGATATCATTGCAGTTAGAAGGATGAACTTATTGGACTGTAAGAAAATGATGTTCAATATAGTTTTAACCTTACTAGAAAGATTGTTGATATGTCAATGGTGTCTTGTATGAATGTTATGTCTGAATTTTGTAGCATATTGCTTTGCATGTTGGGTTAGTTGTAGGCATTTGTTAAAGAATTCAGTAGCACTACTGTATTACCATTTATATTTCCCATGTTCCAATAGGTTTTAAAATAAGTAAGGCTTTTTTCAGGATTTCATAGTACCGGTAGTGTTGAAGGTTTCTTAGTTGTAATGAATTGAATGTATTCATTTTTTATGAAACTGATAGTCATGCACATAGAAATAATATTGTATCAAATCTCTAACACTAGTAAATGTTGTATTTAAAAAAAAGATATGTCAGTTTTCTCTAAAGACAAATGGTTTTCAAAATCTTTTTCATTAAAATGTAATTTCATGAAGAAAATTAAAGCATTGTATTGGGACTTTTAATCATTGAATATTATGAAAAAAGAGAAAATCTGGATGAAGTCAAATCAAAGGTCCATAAAAACAAAACACTTATTTACTAATATTGAATTTAAATTGGGATTGAAGAGCTTTGATTGATTAGCATAAGTTTAGGGAGAGATAATTTAAAATCACTTCAAATTCAGCACACATAGAAGGCTATCTTTAAACATAATTTTATACAGGACAGTTGCAGACAAATGATTTCAGAGGATTTCTCTGAAACATCTAGATAAATTTTGGACAAACCTGTTCCTGATCACATGTGGTGTCTGCTTTATGAGCTCCCTCAATGATAATGCTATCAGCTAACATTCTAACAGTAATTGATATAATAACACCTGTATACACCTGTATAACTTTGTCTTTTCTATAACAAAATATATTTGACTAGATTATCGTAATGGATATGAAAATAAGGAGATGTGTGATACATTAATGAGACAGCAACCCAATGACACAAAAACTTCATTGAAATTATAGGGTATAGGGTTATGGAATCTACCTTTAAAAATATGTCTTGTAATTATACCTATTAAGCACCATGAATACTTTTAAATTGTACATATATACATATTTATGGTTTAACACTTATAGTGATTTGTTTTTTCTGTTTAAAAAAAATTGTTAGGAAGAAATGAAAAAAATGGTTTTCAAAATCTTTTTCATTAAAATGTAATTTCATGAAGAAAATTAAAGCATTGTATTGGGACTTTTAATCATTGAATATTATGAAAAAAGAGAAAATCTGGATGAAGTCAAATCAAAGGTCCATAAAAACAAAACACTTATTTACTAATATTGAATTTAAATTGGGATTGAAGAGCTTTGATTGATTAGCATAAGTTTAGGGAGAGATAATTTAAAATCACTTCAAATTCAGCACACATAGAAGGCTATCTTTAAACATAATTTTATACAGGACAGTTGCAGACAAATGATTTCAGAGGATTTCTCTGAAACATCTAGATAAATTTTGGACAAACCTGTTCCTGATCACATGTGGTGTCTGCTTTATGAGCTCCCTCAATGATAATGCTATCAGCTAACATTCTAACAGTAATTGATATAATAACACCTGTATACACCTGTATAACTTTGTCTTTTCTATAACAAAATATATTTGACTAGATTATCGTAATGGATATGAAAATAAGGAGATGTGTGATACATTAATGAGACAGCAACCCAATGACACAAAAACTTCATTGAAATTATAGGGTATAGGGTTATGGAATCTACCTTTAAAAATATGTCTTGTAATTATACCTATTAAGCACCATGAATACTTTTAAATTGTACATATATACATATTTATGGTTTAACACTTATAGTGATTTGTTTTTTCTGTTTAAAAAAAATTGTTAGGAAGAAATGAAAAAAATGGTTTTAAGAATATTAATGCTTCTTTGAATTGTGTTTGAAGACGGAAAGAGGGGGTTAACAATTTTTAATTTGCTCAAAACAGATAACAGTAAATTTAAAATACTGATAACCAATAATAGCAATTTAAATAATCTTAAATGAGAAAACAATGAATTCAAAAATCAAAAAACAGTTAACAGGGGTAATTTTTTTCACAATAACATTTAACAGCACATATATTTTCAAAATAACAGTAAACAAAAGTTTAATATGCCTAAAACACCTGAATAAAAAAGATCTTGCCCCTCCTCTTTGAATGCCAGCTGAGTGTGTTAGGCCCCTTTGAAGAATATTTGCATTTGCAGTATTTGTGTCGGATCAAAGGTTTTATTGTGTTTGTTTTAATGTTTTGCATGTACTGATTTTACTGTTGTATTTTGTGCTGGTACCCATTTGTTTTAATGTTTTGCATGTATTAATTTTACTGTTGTATTTTGTTTTTGGTACCAGATAATACAATTATATTTTTTCAGGGAGGTGGACCAAATCACCAGACATCTAAGAAAGTTACACTTGCTGAATTATACCCAACAAGTTAGTAAATATTGCTTGATTTTTTTCAACGTTTATTATTCACTGACAGCACAAATAGTGCCAGTAAAAATTATTTCTCTCATTACATTTTCTAGGAAATGGAAGTCTAAAACATTGGATTTAAATGACATTATTACTGAAAAGTAAGTTTTGCTGAATATAGAATCATATTCTTAAAGTTAAAATAAAGGTTAGAAACTTGCTTTGATATAGGTTGACTAATGAGTGAATTATATGTATTAGTTTCTCCTAATTTATTTTCAGCTAAAACTATGGTAGATTTGACAATTCTTCAAGGCAGAGATTTGATTGCAATGGACAGAAATGGTAATGTTTGACTCAGATTTTACAAAGTTGTTGCTATCATTTTATAATCATATTTATGAGGGCAGGAGGACCTTTTTTTTTTTTTTTGGACGTCCGGTTTGGACCTTTATTTTTTGCGGGAAATCAGGATTGGGCCTTTATTTTTGGGAGAATTCAGGATTTACACCTATAGGGAATCGGAATTGAAGATTTATTTTCCATGATCTGGGAAAGAGTGTATTTTTTCAGGAATTCAGGATGACACTCATCCTACCCCCATCTACTTAAAGAATGGATGGTATACTGCATTGACTTTATCTTTCTGTCTGTATGTCTGTCTAACTCACTCAGTCAATCTCTTTGTATGAAATGAAAACTTTCATTGCATATACCTAGACATATGTATTATGTCTTTTCATACCTGTGATACCTATATGCCCATTTTGCCTTGTTTTTCAACATGGGTCAAGTTACTGTGCAGGAACAAGAGTGTACGTAGAAGAAAAGATCTATGACGAATCTGTAGAACGTAGTACAGAAAAAGCAAAGAATAGGACTGTTGGTGATTCTTACTTAGAATAATTGGTCATGAGCTTGGAAATACTGCATTCCCACATTTAAATGATTTTCAGATCTGCTGTGCAGCTACTTTCTGTTTGTTGACACTTTCATATTTTGCTTGACCCACTATACATGACAGTGTTCAAGGTTGTTTATGAGAGGGGATGGTTTAGATATATGATATTTTGTTCTTAAATCTTTAAAAAAGTTTCAGCCATTATTTTTATTCAAACATATATTATGTTCAGGCATATACATGTATAATGCTGGCTTCGGTATCCTATATTCATGTTTCTGGAATAATCTTTGTTAGTGTAATGTTTTAGAGCAATAACTTCTTAAGTTCAAAAGTTTGGGAAGATATGTATGTGCAATGTTTTAGAGCAATAACTTCTTAAGTTCAAAACTTTGCAAAGATAAATATGTGCAATGTTTTAGGGTAATTACATATGTCTTGCACACTTAAATCAGTATCATATACAAACAGAGGAAGAATTTCTGTGTTTCCATATGAAATAATTTTGCTCAATGAATTATTCTTGAATTTAGGATTTAGTGATCCCTTCTGTATAGTAAAAATGGGAGAGAAGAGATTACTGAAGACCTCAGTAAAGAAGAAAACTTTATTCCCTAAGTGGAATGAGAGTACAACATTTGAGTTCAGTAATGAAAACCAAATGATTGAAATTGTAAGTTATTTTGATAGATTCATTTAAAAAAATGAATAACTTTTTTCCTCAAAACAGGCATAAAATTACAAAAAAGTCTTGTCTTAAACTATTACTTGAAGTTTAAAAGAGATGATTTCCAGATAGAACATTGAAATAATAATTAAAGTTAGGGAAATAAATCTATATTAATTATCAATCCATTAAGAAGAAATTGCAGTCCATAAAATAGATTTGTCCATATATAGTAAATAGTATGATTTTACATAAACTACAGTATGAAAATCATATGTTTTTGCCTCATCCCTTATTAGTAAAGGAGACTGGAAACTTCAGTGGAATTAAGGATGTACACCTCTGAGGAGCCAAAAATTTCTAGAATTAAACTTTTTTTCTAAACCTGATTTTTGGGTTTATATGACTGTAAAAAAATAATTGGCGAAGAAAAAATCATATGGTGGTGCACTTCTGTTTTTTGCTACGGCCCTTTGAAAGTACCCAATTTTGATGATTTTCCCATTTTTCATCAGTTTTTGCCCATTTTTGGGCTATTATCGTGAAAAAAATCACAGTTCTACAATTAAACTTTTGTTCATACTTTCAATTAAGATGAAGTGGACCAATCTGAATAAATTTAAGTTAAAAAAACTATAGGTAGGTGTTAATATAAGAAAGTTTTATCATATTTTGATGCTTTTTCGTGTCAAATTTACCATGCTGTCAATTTTGAAAATTTATGATTTTTCTCTGTTTTAAGAACAAAATGCATATTATTTAAACTTCTTTGTTATAAATGATTGAAAAAATACATATCTCAGAAATTTGAATAGAAAAAGTGATATGGGATGTACATGTTTCTGGTAAAATCATTTATTGTACCCCTCACCCATTTTCTCAAAAATATGGCTAAAAGACAAGACTTGATTGGTAATAAAATTTGAAAAATTTATTACTCAAAAACTACTTATTGTAAATACACAATTTTTTCACAGAGTTCAGTTTGATTATGATATTTATTAAATTCATTGCTATTTTCCACTTGTATCACATGTTTTGGAAATAATCCCAGAACGAGATTTCAACGAGACTGAAAAGTCAGAAGAATACATCCTTAAGAATAAAAGGAAATGTGTGGTATATATTAGAGACAGCACCCAAACAACACAAAAATAAACTCAAAATAAATCTAGAGGACAACAAACAGGTTTCTACAGTGGACAACATGTCAAGATCAAAATCTTGTACAATTGTGGATAAATTTAACAAAATCTTGTACAACTGTGGATAAATTAAACAAAATCTGGTACAATTGTGGATAAATTTAACAAAATCTTGTACAACTGTGGATAAATTTAACAAAATCTGGTACAATTGTGGATAAATTTAACAAAATCTTGTACAACTGTGGATAAATTTAACAAAATCTTGTACAACTGTGGATAAATTTAACAAAATCTGGTACAATTGTGGATAAATTTAACAAAATCTTGTACAACTGTGGATAAATTTAACAAAATCTTGTACAACTGTGGATAAATTTAACAAAATCTTGTACAACTGTGGATAAATTTAACAAAATCTGGTACAATTGTGGATAAATTTAACAAAATCTTGTACAACTGTGGATAAATTTAACAAAATTTTGTACAACTGTGGATAAATTTAACAAAATCTTGTACAACTGTGGATAAATTTAACAAAATCTGGTACAATTGTGGATAAATTTAACAAAATCTTGTACAACTGTGGATAAATTTAACAAAATCTTGTACAACTGTGGATAAATTTAACAAAATCTGATACATTTGTGGATATATTTAACAAAGACTATTAAAGATATGCCATCAACACAAAATCCCTAAAGGACAAGGAACATTAAAACATAAAAATGAGAGAAGATATCAAGGGGACACAGACAATACCATTGGGCAAAAGATAACAACTAAAAGACCAACAACAGTCCACAAAATACTACACAGAAAACTAAAGATTGAGCAATATGAACCCCAACAATAAATGGGACTCTTACGGGTAATCAGTTCCTACTTTGCTTGTGGTATCTGTTGTGGTTCTTATGAAATTTGGTTAGAGTCACATTTAGTGATGTATTTATGGATTAAAAGAGGACATGGTTGTGGTCAAAAGACGACTTGCATCAGACACATGTAGATGTAGTGGTTGCAAACTATATTTTGAGATCTCAACACTCCCCCTTTTAATCTCAATTAGTTGAATTACTAAAGGAGTAGACTGAAGATTTCATTTATTTATAGGTTAAGGTTTTCAATAGACACACTAAATATTATGACAAATTGGTGGTAGAAGATCATCTTTCTAGTACATATAAAAATGGGAAGATGTGTGGTATGATTGCCAATGAGACAACTCTACACCAGAGACCAAATGATGTAGAACAACTATAGGTCACTGTACAGCCTTCTACAATGAGCAAGCTATAAAAGGCCCTGAAATTACAAATGTAAAACAAAACTAAAGGCCTAATTTGTTTACAAAATAATAAGCGAAAAAAAAAGGTATGATATACAGCAACAAATGACAATTACTGAATTACAGGCTCCTGACATGGGACATGCACATACAGAATGTTATTGGGTTAATTATAATCAAAGTACTGAAGTACTGAACATCGGATGACCGCAAGTTCTGGTGGATGGTCACAAGCACTTGTCTCAGAAAAAAAAAATCATATCTCTATATCTGAAAGTTGGGTTAAGGTACATAGATATTTTTTTTTTCTGAGACAAGTTCTTGTGTCGATGATGAATAAATGACAGGGAATTCAACCTCACCGTAATAATTATTATCATATTGTAGTGATATAATCATTTGTTATCAGTATATTTTGGTTTGTTGTTATATATTATATTAATATTTGTATAACAGTTATATATATATAATAGCAGATCATCTTAATAACTCTACAGGCAAATTTTCATCCATTTATATATCATTCTATTCTACTGTTCTCATGATAGTGCAGTGCAAGTGCATGGTGGACACTCTTCTGTAATAATTCGTTTTTCCAAATTGGATTTGAGTAGGCATTCATATTTTCCCAGTTTTGTTGCAAACGGTTCTCGAGATATTCTTCCGCATGCGTTAACACAAATTTTCGATATTCATGATTTGTTATTCATATATATATTTCTCACAACAAAACATTTTCATATCATTTATCTATGTTCTTAAAAATTATTTTCATGAATATTTATTGATGAAATTAATATGTAACAAGCGATAAGAAATATTATCATATTCTTGTAGAAAATAATGGTATAATTGTACCTCTTGATAAAACTAATTTGTACATATATTTATTCATTAAATTTGAAGAATTGTCTTAGCCGTGTGATATGACTTTCGTTATCAACTGCTTCCGGTATATATCAACTGCTTCCGGTTTATATCAACTGCTTCCAGTTATTATCGCATGCCTTTCTTTAACGTTATCGCAAAGCATTTCGACGTCATTCTGCAAATTCCGGAAAAATAAACCTCAATGGTACATTTTAGTGAAAAACATAACTAAGTAGAATAAAAGAGTGAATATTAGGAAACAGGAAAATATATAATTAAAAAATGCAAAACAAATAATACAATAAATGAATTTTATAATGTTTTAAAATAGTTTTTATACGACCGCAAAAATTAAAAGGTTGGGATTGATTTTGGGGGTTATGGTACCAACAGGTAAGGAATTAGGGGCCAAAAATAAGCATTTTTGTAACTTCCAGACATAACTTGTGTGTTAGTGTATGGATCTCTCTGACATTGTACCACAAGGTTCCATATCACAAAGGGGATGCTGGGATTGATTTTGGGGGTAATTGCCTCCAAATTTTAGGAGTAGGGGCCAAAAAGGGGCAAAAAACAAGCATTTTTCTAGGTTCTTGATAATAACTTGTGTATAAGTGTATGGATCTTTCTGAAATTGAACTACAAGGTTCCATATCACAAAGGGAAAGCTGGAATTGAGTTTGGGGGTAATTGCCTAAAACGTTTAGGAATAAGGGGCCAAAAAGGGGCCAAAAATAGCATTTTTCTAGTTTCCAGAAAATAACTTGTGTTCAAGTGTATGGATCTCTCTGAAATTGTTCTGCAAGGTACCATACCACAAAGGGAAGGCTGGGATTGATTTTGGGGGTAATTGCCTCAAAATTTTAGGAGTAGGGGCCAAAAAGGGGCAAAAAACAAGCATTTTTCTAGTTTCAGGACAATAACTTGTGTGTAAGTGTATGGATCTTTATGAAATTGTACTACAAGGTTCCATATCTCAAAAGGAAAGCTGGGTTTGAGTTTGGGGGTAAATGCCCAAAACATTTAGGAATTTGGGGCCAAAAAGGGGCCTAAAAACAAGCATTTTTCTAGTTTCCAGACAATAACTTGTGTTCAAGTGTATGGATCTCTCTGAAATTGTACTGCAAGGTACCATACGACAAAGGGAAGGCTTGGATTGATTTTGGGGGTAATTGCCTCAAAAGTTTAGGAATTAGGGGCCAAAAAGGGGCAAAAAACAAGCATTTTTCTAGTTTCAGGACAATAACTTGTGTGTAAGTGTATGGATCTTTTTGAAATTGTACTACAAGGTTCCATATCTCAAAAGAAAAGCTGGGTTTGAGTTTGGGGGTAATTGCCTTAAACGTTTAGGAATTTGGGGCCAAAAAGGGGCCTAAAACAAGCATTTTTCTAGTTTCTAGACAATAACTTGTGTTCAAGTGTATGGATCTCTCTGAAATTGTACTGCAAGGTACCATACTACAAAGGGAAGGCTTGGATTGATTTTGGGGGTAATTGCCTCAAAAGTTTAGGAATTAGGGGCAAAAAAGGGGCACAAAACAAGCATTTTTCTTGTTTCAGGACAATAACTTGTGTGTAAGTGTATGGATCTTTATGAAATTGTACTACAAGGTTCCATATCTCAAAAGGAAAGCTGGGTTTGAGTTTGGGGGTAAATGCCCAAAACATTTAGGAATTTGGGGCCAAAAAGGGGCCTAAAAACAAGCATTTTTCTAGTTTCCAGACAATAACTTGTGTTCAAGTGTATGGATCTCTCTGAAATTGTACTGCAAGGTACCATACCACAAAGGGAAGGCTTGGATTGATTTTGGGGGTAATTGCCTCAAAAGTTTAGGAATTAGGGGCCAAAAAGGGGCAAAAAACAAGCATTTTTCTAGTTTCAGGACAATAACTTGTGTGTAAGTGTATGGATCTTTATGAAATTGTACTACAAGGTTCCATATCTCAAAAGAAAAGCTGGGTTTGAGTTTGGGGGTAATTGCCTTAAACGTTTAGGAATTTGGGGCCAAAAAGGGGCCTAAAACAAGCATTTTTCTAGTTTCTAGACAATAACTTGTGTTCAAGTGTATGGATCTCTCTGAAATTGTACTGCAAGGTACCATACTACAAAGGGAAGGCTTGGATTGATTTTGGGGGTAATTGCCTCAAAAGTTTAGGAATTAGGGGCAAAAAAGGGGCACAAAACAAGCATTTTTCTTGTTTCAGGACAATAACTTGTGTGTAAGTGTATGGATCTTTATGATATTGTACTACAAGGTTCCATATCTCAAAAGGAAAGCTAGGTTTGAGTTTGGGGGTAATTGCCCTAAATGTTTAGGAATTTGGGGCCAAAAAGGGGCCTAAAAACAAGCATTTTTCTAGTTTCCAGACAATAACTTGTGTTCAAGTGTATGGATCTCTCTGAAATTGTACTGCAAGGTACCATACCACAAAGGGAAGGCTGGGATTGAGTTTGGGGGTGCTGAATCATAAGGGGGTTCAAAAAATTTAGGGGAGGTATTTTTTTTTTCTTTAAAATTTTTCATTTTAAATTGGTTATTTCTGATTTATATATAAAAGCAAACAATAATGATATGGGTTGAATAGGTAAATTAAAATTTTTTAAGTTCTTAGACCACATTCATTCTGTGTCAGAAACCTGTGCTGTGTCAAATATTTAATCCAAATTCAGTGCTGTATCAAGCTTGAATGGTGTGTCCATACTTGCCCCAACTGTTCAGGGTTCGACCTCTGCGGTCGTATCAAGCTGCCCCCAGCGGATCATTTTATTCTTGTCTGTATGGCTTCCGCTGAAGTATATGATAAAAAGAACATAACATGTCATTTTTCATATCAGACCCCTTATCAGCCCATGGTCAAAATCATCCCTCGAGCCTGTCGGCTCTCGGGGCTGATATCATGACCTAGGGCTGATAAGGGGTCTGATATGAAAAATGCCATGTTATAATCTATATTTATTTTGCACTCTATGATATCCGCGTAATTATACGAAATACGTTCGTGGTTATCAGTCAAACGGCAAGGAAATTTCTGCGGCAACATAACCGGTATGACCTCTCAAGGTCACATCCGATGTAAAAATCAGTTTAGAAGGGCTTAACTCATCAGATCAATAACAAAACACAAAAAACTAACCAAAACATATCTTACAATTTACATAATATTTGATAATTCTATGAAATTTTCAGCTGCTGTATGATAAAGATTTCATATCAGATGATTTCCTGGGAAAAGCTATGCTATCTCTTGATAAACTGAAAGAAATTTCTTACAAGGTAATTATGCCATTTGATGCAAGCATTAAGTATTTTTTACTTTTGTATACCCTGATTTAAAGTAGAGGAGTATGCTTGCTTACTCCTGTTCATTTTCCGTCTACAAATGTATCAGTATGTTAATGTTTTCATTTTTAATAAAAAGCTCATCAGAACTTTTGTTTATATATTTGATATCATATAAAGTTTCCAATTTTTGTCAATGAATAAAAATGACTTACGAGAGAGACCTGAGGTAACAACCAAACAATACAATAAAACAGATAACATAAAGAGGTCATCATATTGGAAACAAAAATAGACTATTATATATCATGCTTTAAATTGTCAAATGTCTATCTTGCTGTCCTTCCATTGTACATTATAATGATAGATTTCTCAGTACTGTGCATCTCAAAGGGTTCAAATTTGACATTTAGCAGTATATTGTAGTTTTAAATTTCTAGTTTGCGTGGTAATGTATTTTCACATCTTAAGGTCACCTGGTTCATGGATAATAATATTTCAGAATTTGTCATATTGTATTTTTATGAGAGATTTCTCACCAACTAGACATCAAAATTCAGCATGGTATTCGTGAGTTTTTGGGTGTAATAGTTACTGTCATTTGTTTTGTTCACACATTGTTGTCAATTTAATGGCATTTTATGCGACTGTCATACAAGTGAGAGGTTTTGATTTTGCAATTTGATAAGGGACTTTCCGATTTGAATTTTCCTTGGAGTTTGGTATTTTTTGTTATTTTACTTTTTTTTTATCAAGAGTGATATATCAACTGCTGGTAACATATAGAATTTTGAAGCTATAATACGTTCAAGTCTGTATTTTGATATAACCTTCTTACTGATAAAAGGAATATTTACCTGTACTCATCATGTTTCTGCCAAATGCCATTGAATATTTTTTATAATAGATGTCTCAGCAAATATGGCATTGTTGTGAGTTGCATTTCACTCACTTTGTTTCTATAGATTTTAAATATTTATATTTGTTCACTTAATCTACAAGAGCATGCATTTGTAAACTCAGATACAGTTTCTCTATTTGAAGTTGCTAGCACAGATTTAGATGGTAAGTTTCTTATAACATGAGTTCATGTCTAGCTGCTCTTCTCACAGTACTCCTAATGTGTTGTGTCCCTTAATATTACAGAGCACCTCAGAATGGATAAAGTTACAAAGAACCAAGTCTGGTATGATACAGATAAAGTGTACTGTTACAACAAATGGTGTTCCTGTAAGTATTTCACACATACAGTGAATTTTTATTTAAGTATTAATTGCATTAAAACTAACAGGTTAAAAAACAAAAATTTTTTTTAAAGTAAGATATTTGAAAAGGAGATCATGTGTGGTATCTATCAAATTATCAATGTAACATTAACCAAACAAGAAATAAAACAAAAAATGAACATTTTGTGCTAGTACACCTTTATTGGAAATACATACTTTTTTATTTTCAAGCTTCTCTCAGCTTAATCAAAGTATAAAGTGTTCAACATTATCACAGTTTATAATTGATTTTCAGATGTCAGCAAAAAAAAATTAAAATGATTATATTTTGCTGTGGATGAACTAAGCGATGAATACTTGGGACGAAAGTTTCTTAAATATAGGTTATAGTGGATTATGATATTATTACGTGAGTATTTCTGTATTGGCCTTGTTATTGGTCCGAGGCTTGCTGTATTGGCCTGAGGCGAAGCCGACGGCCAATAAAGCTGGCCAAGGACCAATAACAAGGCCAATACAGAAATACACGTAATAGTATCTTTATTAATTAACTACAGTGTTACAATATTTTTTTTATTTCATTTCACAAGAGATAAACATTTTCACCTTGAAGTGGAACTATCCAAATCTCAGTTTCTTTTTATAAGATGCAATATCTAATGATCTGGTGCCGTTTCCAGGTGTCTTCAGCATTTTCTCATCTGATGAATTTTTCTACCCTTTCCAGTCACTATAAAGTGTTACAATTTAAATTTAGACACAACACATAAATAGTAATTGGAAAGTTACTGCCATTGCATGTGTTATGTAGAAACAAATTGAATATATTTAAAAAAAAAAATAATGTAGGAGTTGAAAATGATACAACTATCCATAAGCCAACTGACCAAAGAACGAAGATTTGCACAATTACAGGTCACCCTTCCAGAATGCATATGCCTGGTTCGGGTTTAAAAATAAATGACAGTTTACAAAACATGAGAAGCGAAAGTAAACAGTAAATCGATTTGTACCATCGTGAAATTATGAGGTCGACAAGAAATGAACTTTGTGATAATCTACTCGTTCCCCAAACCTGAAATAATTCCATCGTCTGCTTTCAAAATGCTTTTTAAATGAATGTGACCGTCTTTAGCCTGAAATATATTGCCATACTGAACGTTTCAGCATGTTTATGGTGAGTAAATAAAAACTGCGTCTTCCAAACAACTGTTTACTTTCAGTTTGTGTTTATCGTGACTTTCGATCTAAAAACTAAAGACGTTCCGAAATCCTGTATTGGCCGGATCAGAACTCGGCCAATACAGAAAAAAAATCTATATTGGCCGAGTTATTCTGTATTGGCCGAGTTGACACCTATATATTGCATAGGCAGTTTTCATCATATTAAGTCCAATAACAGTGTAGTTCATTAATAAAACAAATTAAAGCTTAAGCTTTTTTATGGACAGGTGGGTGAAAATATTTTATAAAGCTAAGAGTTAAGTTAAATGGTGCAACTTGCAAAGATAAAGGTAAAATTGTGAAGTTCTTTATGTTTGTTTCTATAATATTTGAAATTATTGTATTGTCTTGTTTACAGATGAAAAGAGAGAATGATACCAATTCAATACCAGAAAATGAGGTCTTTAAATCTGAAACTACTCCAGCATTACAGGTAAGTGCCCCAGTGAGTATCCCAGTCCCCATTTACAAGTGATGAGGATTTAAAAAAAAAGAATTGTATGATGTCCTTCACATTCAGTGAACTGAGTGAAGTTACATAGATATGATATTTTTGACCAGACAATCTGTCAATCTGTCAGTTTCTGTCTCACATGCCAAGGATGAAAGACATATGGATGCTAATCTGACTGTGGCTGCTAGTGTAAATTATTTGTATAAAGCTTTATATTTCATCAGGAAGAAGACCTAGATACCTTACATCCTGTATACAGATGCCTTATGTTTTAAACTTTTCGTCTGGCATATGTCAGTTGTTCTTGACCTCATTTTCATGGTTCAGCAACTGCTTTAAAAAACTATAAATGCTAATAAAGACCGTAGTTTTTTTCATCAAATCTGTTTCTCACTTATTTGTTTAATATTGTATTTTTTTGTAGGCTATGCCTGATAGATCTACAGAAGAACAAAATCACAAAATGAATGGTCAAGTCAGGAAAGATATGAAACCAGACATCTTACCATATGTCGATGAAGTTGATTCAGGACATCACATCAAAGAGGAAATTGTTGTAATGAAACATGATTCTAAATTGTCATCTCAACCACCTCCAAGACAGGAATTGCATGCTAATGGAGCAACACCAGAATCTAAAAAAATAAATACTTCACTACAAAATGGTGACCATGAGAAAAGTGAAAGCCCTCCTAAACAGAGAAAAAGTCAAACTTCTCCACATCAGAAAAGAGTAGAGGGGGAGAATCAGAGGACATCTAAACAACTTGGAAGTCCTGTACCACCTGAACAAAGCAATTCACCAACAGAGAGTAGAGGTAGGGTACAGGGAAGAAGTAGATCCTCCCAACATATTGAATCTCAGGTGGATGGCAGTCCAAATCAGCCAGGTCATCCTCATTACATTCGTCACAGTAGTCCATCACGACGTAGTCATAGGACATCAAAAGAAACGTTGATTGATAATCCACCAGCAGTTTCCTCTGTAGACCCATACAGATCATCACCATCAGGGCAGGGAGGTCGTAGAGGGAGAGATAATTCACAAAAATCACCATTAATGCGTTCCCAGTCAGATATGACAGTAAACAGTAGACCAGGATACACATCATTAATGCTTCCTGAAAGAGATGGAATGAAGCATGGTGACTCGTAAGTTTCTTATTACTAGGAAAATATAAATAATTTTAATAAAGCATATTTTTTTGCAGACAGAATTTATTGATATTTTGTAACTCATTTCATTTTCCTGTCTAAGTGTTTAAATTTTGAAGATTTTTTTTCCATCCTACTTTGTATCTGCTACTTCTTAACCAATTTACAGAATTTTGTGAAACTTTTACAGAATCTTACTCATATGGTATTATTTGCACCTATTATTTAATTTCTTCATCTGATTGATTTTGGGGGTTAACTTTGGCATGACATGGACTTTGCCATATTTGCACACTACATTACACATTGGTATTCTGTAGTGGAAAAGGGGGTATCAAATTATGTAACTCTAGCTATTTCTGGTTAATTCCCCTCCATGAAAGTAGCAGAGGAATAAAGAATTACTCTTGTCCATCTGCTGAAGTTGTACATTTATGTCAAATCTGTGTTTTACCCTCTTGTACAGTACAGAATTGTTCAGCTACATCTTATTCGCTGACTGACCATTGCATACTTGAGATTCTCATATAACTTTTGTTATATATTAGTGATATTCCACAACTACTAGAAAATACAAAACAGGAGAAATAACTAATTTATTAAATAACAGTGAGACAGAAAACAAAAAATTAAAAATCAATGTAAATATATGACAAATTATTTGGAAAAAATCCAGTTGTATCAACCTTCAGATTAATTGCTTTTGAATCAACATTGCATTTAATTTTATTAAGCTAATATTTATCTGTTTTATTAACATACTAAAAATACCCATGGTTTCAGCTTTATACCTGTAGTAATGCAACAATGTTGGATTGGTGTGAAAAAAGTAACAATGTGAAATTGATTTATAAAAATGCTAACATGATTTAATTTCAGAGGGGGTAATAACTTCTTAATTAATAGATGGTAAGCAGATATGTATTGAATCGTCACCTTTGCAAATGTGCATCACGGCATACCGCAAATTGTCTAATTACTAATACCTACTTACATTATAAATACATATATATACCATCCCATGCATGCATATTCAGAGAAAGTCTTCTAAAAAAGTTAACGTAAAATTACTCATTTAAAAAAACTCATGTTCTTCCTTGAAAGTCTCTCAATATCATATAATATTTTGTTTTCTCTAACTATTAATTAAACAACTGTGAATGTTTTCTGTAACTCTTTGGTTGTTGCCAACGACACAAATAACCAAAAGACATCTAGAGGTCACTTACAATCTTCAACGATAGACAGGTGTTTATACAAAATTTTATTTTAGACGATTGAACTGCTAGACAATTATATTTTCTATATGTATGGTTAATAATAAAAATCATTCATCTGATTGAAAGCAATCTAGATGCAGGAAGAAATAGAGAGACAAGTTTATTTTACACTTTTTAACTGTGACATAAAACAATTGCTGCAGTATGGAGTAACTTTGAAATACCTACAGGTAAAAACACTCAATACTAACAATACTTGTATTAACAAAACTTAATTCTTGAATTTAAATAAGAATATCTTTAAAAGGCCTCAGGTCAGTAGAATTACCTTTACATGTATTTAAATATTTGTTTTATGCTTTGATTTTAGATCTAAAATTTCAATGCAAAAAAGATATGAATAATTGAAGATCTAGAAATAGTCTTTGGTCAGTTTACACGTTGTCAACCTATTTAGGTCTTCGTAACATTCTGTGAAAAACCCTTTTAATTTTGTTCAGATACATTTTTGTTGTTTTTCTTCTGCCACTTTTGAAATGCTGTTTTTGTTTTGCAAACTGTTGTTAAGATATTGAACAATTATTGTGCTTTTGAATCTCACTGTTTTGAACCGAACACTTTTCCGCATAGGAGTTATCTCTTTGTAAAGTGTTCTATTTATGCCTTGCTGTAGCGGAGGGGGCATTAAGTTTTTACTCTTGTACGTCTGTATGTACGTCCCAAAGTTGGTTTCCGTTCTCTAACTTTAGTTTGCCTCAACCAAATGTTATGAAACTTATACACAATGCTTATTACCACACAACACAGATCAAATTTTGGTGGTGTCATCTTAACCGTTCTAGAGTTATGCCCCTTTACAAATGGAAAAATTGCTGAATTTTTCGTTTCTGTTCTCTTACTTATGTTAGCCTCAACCAAATGTTATGAAACTTATACACAATGCTTATTACCACAAAACACAGATCAAGTTTGAATATTGGGGGTGTCACTTTAACCATTCTAGAGTTATGCCCTTTTACAAATGGAAAAATTGCTGAATTTTCCGTTTCCGTTCTCTAACTTAAGTTAGCCTCAATCAAATGTTATGAAACTTATACACAATGCTTATTACCACAAAATACAGATCAAGTTTGAACTTTGGGGATGTCACTTTTATTGTCCTAGAGTTATGCCCCATTACAAATAGAAAAATTGCTGAATTTTTCGTTTCAGTCTTTAACTAAAGTTTGCCTCAACCAAATTTTATGAAACTTTTAAACCATTGTGGTGACGTCAGCCTATTCATTTACCGTGGATTCTTTTTCTAGAATCAACGCTTCCTAAATCTGCCGCTGAAATTGACTCACCAAATTATATTCAATTGTTTCCTTTGTGTGCCTAATTTCATTAAGTTTGAATTGGCTAATTTACTGATTTCTGTTCACTATTGGAATTAATTTAAAAACTTACCTTTAGTTTTTGTAATAAAGATAAAAAACAAAAATGGTTAAAATCAATGAGTTAAAGATATGGATTTGTCGGTTTAGGTTCGAATCCCTGTGTTCTCTCTGATGTTCCAATTCTTAAGTTATCCTGTTTTTTTTTCTAATTTTGCATGTTAAAGTGGATATTTTTGTAATAATAGCGAGTTTTACCGGTTGTTTTTTTATTATTATTGGCTATTTCACATGTTTGAAACAAAAATCATTACATTCTATTTGTCAATTTTTGTTTTATAAATATAGTATGATTTCATCTGTTTTACTACATAATTTTACACAGGTTTGTTCGCAAATTCCTATGTGAGAAAATCGTGATGTGCCTAGAGTGCTAGAAAAATTTCGATAACATACTTATTATATATACTTTATATATGCTTTTTGGTCAGTTTGTTGTCTCTTTGACACGTTTCCCATTTCCATTTTCAATTTTATTAGAAATAATTTCGAATATGTCTTATTTTGTATAAACAGATAATATTCATATGCCTGGTAATATAAAGATCTTTAAAGGTAGAAGTGTTATATTTGTATTTTGTTAACCAATTAATTGTGATCTGAGATTTATCAATGCATCGTTTGGACACGATAACATGGTTATTTAAACTCACTTACAATACCTTCTAATTAAGAAAAGGTTTTAATTTTGAAAAGAAATTAACACAATAGTTTAAGTTATAGATACAATGGATAAGCATAGATTCATGAAAAACAAACCATTCGCCCTCCGGGCTCATGGTTTCTTTTTCAAGAATCCACGCTTATCCATTGTATCTATATAACATACACAACACTTATTACCACAAAACTCAGATCAAGTACAAATTTGGGTAGCTTCAATTTTACTGTTCTTCAGTTATGTCCCTTTATAACTTTATATGATATGCAAGCTGGGGCATCATCTGTGTCCCATGGACACAATCCCCATTTATTGTTATCTCTTCTCCTCAGAAACTGTAAAAGATATCTCTTCAATTTTTTCTAAAAATTAGTTTTGGCTTCCTCAGGATGATTTGTTCAACTTGGACTGAAGCTATTCATAAGCATTTTATAAGAGTCATTTCCCTGTTTGTGTTTGATATAAATAGTATGGCTGTACTACTCATAAACTGAGGTAGCAAATTATCTCCCTTACTTAAAGCAAAATTGCAAATAAATCATGTACTTTTGAAATCAGTGTAATGTAAGTTATTATATGAAAGTGACTTTTAAAAGCTAGAAGTAGCAAACTATCTCCCTTTTCAGGTAAAAGATATATAGAAACCTTAAATTTTTGGAATCAGTGTAAAGTTAGTTATCATTTAAATAAAATGGAAGTAGATGGTTATTTCCCTTACTTCAAAGAAATTCAATAACACAACTATATTTGATTTAGTATAAGCTAAGCCTTCTTTCAATGCCATAAGTGACTTTTCAGCCTTTATCCACATTTTTATACGACCGCAAAAAATTTTTTGTGGTCGTATATTGGTATGACGTTGGCGTCGTCGTCGTCCGGCGTCGTCGTCGTCGTCGTCCGGCGTCGTCTGGCGTCGTCCGAAGACACATTGGTTTTCGCACTCTAACTTTAGTTTAAGTGAATGGATCTTTATGAAATTTTACCACAAGGTTCAATACCACAAAAGGAAGGTTGGGATTGATTTTGGGGGTTATGGTAATAACAGTAAAGGAATTAGGGGCCAAAAAGGGGCGAAAAATAAGCATTTTTGTAACTTCCAGACATAACTTGTGTGTTAGTGTATGGATCTCTCTGACATTGTACCACAAGGTTCCATATCACTAAAGGAATGCTGGGATTGATTTTGGGGGTAATTGCCTCCAAATTTTAGGAATTAGGGGCCAAAAAAGGGGCAAAAAACAAGCATTTTTCTAGTTTCATGACAATAACTTGTGTGTAAGTGTATGGATCTTTCTGAAATTGTACTACAAGGTTCCATATCACAAAGGGAAAGCTGGGTTTGAGTTTGGGGGTAATTGCCCTAAACGTTTAGGAATTTGGGGCCAAAAAGGGGCCAAAAAACACATTTTTTTCTAGTTTCCAGACAATAACTTGTGTTCAAGTGTATGGATCTCTCTGAAATTGTACTGCAAGGTACCATACCACAAAGGGAAGGCTGGGATTGAGTTTGGGGGTGATGAATCATAATGGGGGTTCAAAAAATTTTGGGGGGGGATTTATTTTTTCTTCCTTTTTTTTCTTTTTTTCCTTTTTTGTTTCTTTTAAAATTTTCCATTTTAAGTTGGTTATTTCTGATTTATATTTAAAATCAAATAATAATGATATGGTAGGAGATACACACCAAACAGGATGTGTAAATTATTATATAATAAGTATTGTGCAATAGCAAGAAATTTTCAATTGCACAGTATTGCACAATAGCAAGAAATCTTCAATTGCACAGTATTGCGCAATAGCAAGAAATCTTCAATTGCACAGTATTGCGCAATAGCAAGAAATATCCAATAGCACAATATTGCGCAATAGCAAGAAATTGTCAATTGTACAGTATTGCGCAATAGCAAGAAATATTTAATAGCACAGGATCTTGCAAAAGAAGATACTTCCTATAAATTGCTTATTTCTTGACCAATTTCAATGGGGTTTTATTCTTGATTTCATGGGGTTCTTTAATATGCTGAATCTAACCGTGTATTTAGTTTTTGGATTTTGGGCCCCGTTTTTAAATTGGTCCACATTGAGGTCAAAAGGGTCCAAAATTAAACTTTGTTTGATTTCATCAAAAATTGAATTATTGGGGTTCTTTGATATGCCGAATCTAACCGTGTATTTAGATTCTTAATTTTTGGTTCCGTTTTCAAATTGGTCTACATTAAGGTCCAAAGGGTCCAAAATTAAACTTAGTTTGATTTTAACAAAAATTGAATTCTTAGGGTTCTTTGATATGCTGAATCTAAACATGTATTTAGATTTTTGATTATGGGCCCAGTTTTCAAGTTGGTCCAAATCGGGGTCCAAAATTAAACTTTGTTTGATTTCAACAAAAATTGAATATATGGGGTTCTTTGATATGCTGAATCTAACCATGTATTTAGATTTTTGATTTTTGGGCCCAGTTATCAACTTTGTCCACATTGTGGTCAAAAGGGTCCAAAATTAAACTTTGTTTGATTTCATCAAAAATTGAATTCTTGGGGTTCTTTGATATGCTGAATCTAACCATGTATTTAGATTTTGGATATTGGACCATAATAGGTGAATGTCCAATTTAAAATTTTTAAGTTCTTAGACCACATTCAATCTGTGTTAGAAACCTATGCTGTGTCAAATATTTAATCACAATCCAAATCCAAAGCTGTATCAAGCTTGAATGTTGTGTCCATACTTCCCCCAACTGTTCAGGGTTCGACCTCTGCGGTCGTATCAAGCTGCGCCCTGCGGAGCATTTTATTACAACTTTATTCACTTCAGGTCAACTTATGTGATCAATAAGTGTGAATTTGTAGGTGGTTATACCTTAAATTGTTCTCTGATCAATTTGTTTTTAATTTTATATACAATGCTTTAAAACCCAGTATGGTTGCTTTTTTTGGAAACTGTATCTTACTACCTTGCTTTATTGCTTTATGTTCATGTATTTTGGAAAACATTCAATTTTGTTCCTTCTTTTACATCTTCCAATGGTGATCAAGGGAATCGAACTTAGCCTCTCTTTCAGTTTTGATTAGAATTTTGAGTGATGAAAAGGGATAAATGCTGTGCGAAATGTATGTGGCAATTCCCACTCAAATACATTATGGCAGTGCAGTTTTTCTCAAAATGAATAAAAAATTATGTATTGCTAAAAATTTGGGATCAAACATTTGGATTTTTAATTTGATTAACTTTATTGCCTATTGTTGGTTAATATTGTGATGTTTAAAACTGTATCAAATGAATGTTCATTATGCTTAAGTTTATATTAATTGATACATATTTTTTATGTTTAAGGATGAATTCATTTACATATAGAGAAAAGGATGACTCATCTGATGGTATGTTAATCAATTATAATTATTGAATTTATTTTAAGTTAATTTCAGAATTTAAGTACAGTGGACTCATTTATTTTCATGGGTACCAATATTTTAGAAATTGTATTTTCATGGGTACATGATTTAGTGATACTGCATACAACCCTGCAGAAAATATCTATATTGTTGAACACTTAAATTGATGGAATCTTCACCAACGAAAGTTATGAAAAGTAAATGCTCTACGAATGATAATAGATCCACAGTATTTTAATGATTTTTTTATATATATATATCTTTTTTCTTTGCAGTATTTGATATGCATGATTATATTTATCCTGCTTCTGTTGTGAGGGAACGGTTACTTTCAAATTACCATTTGCCTCACGTTTCAATTTGGGGTTCTCTTTAGGCCCTCTGTTAAGTCATTTCAGTTTCTGTCAAACACAACTTTTATGGTGGGAAGTTAAAAAATTATACGTTTCAAGTGTAAATGTTTAAAAGTTGCAGGATAAAAACAATGTGCGTACATTGTAGGAAAATGTACAAAATATTTGAACTGTTTGAAATGGAAGAAAAGCTCATCGATCATCACATTCCTTCCTGTTTCTAAAGCTTGCACAAATAAATTTTACATTTTCCTACAATGTACAAATATTGTACATATATATTGTATATGATATAAATAGATTAGTTTCTGTTGTCTGACCAATATTTGACCAATATTTGACCTTTCTGTGTACCATTCACTGATGATGCTGGAAGTCATGTAATGATTTTCACAATTTAATGTAAGATTTTGACGAGAAAAACACAGAAAGGTTTGGGTTTTTTTTCATTTGAAGGATTATTTGTTCATTGAATGAATGCATGCATAAAGTGTGTTCATTTTTTGAATGAAAGAATTATTACGAGGAAAGATTCAGAATTTGTTTATTTCTATGCTTATAGTTACCTCTAGTCGAGAGCCTTCTATTATAAGTACAGAAAAATCAGGCAAGTAAGCTTTGCTTGTGTATATGTAGTGCTTTCCCAGATTTATAGATGTGATACAGTTTGTACTCCAGAAACTAACCAAAATCATTAGTATTAGCTATTTTTAAATTATTTTTTATTGTATTTACATGATAGAATAGATTTATAAACTTCTTCTACTCTGAGTGACATAAAATATACAGTATGTCACCATTGTATAAGTACAACAGTTAATAGTTGATAAACATATTTATACTGCAACCAGGCTATTTGTGCAGTCACTTTATATTATCTATAACAATGTATGATATACAGAGACATTTTGTATTTGAGATTGATTATAGATTTCTGTCAAATCTTATTAATGTAAGGAAAGTATTGGCAGATCCAGGGGGGGGGGGGGGGGGGGTGTTCCGGGGTTGGAACCCCCCTTTTCAAAATGGATGGATCTGTGCCTGAAAAGAGACTGTTTCTTATATTTTTTATATTGTCCACCCTATGTCCAACATATGAAATATCAGCCAAAATATTTTCTTCTAAATATTTGTGAGCATTACAGTATAAAGAGTTGAAAAAAAGAGGAGGAAGATTCCAAAGGGCTTTTCAAACACATATAAGTCAATGACAAACTGACAATGTCCTGACAAAAAACAAAAAATGACAAACAACAGTATACAAAACACAACATGCTCAACAGACATCAATATTACACCAAAAACTGGGGGCGATCTCAGGTACTCCCAAAGGTTAAGCAGGTCTTGCTCAACATGTGGCACTCATAGTGTTTTTCATGTAAGTACAAACTCAGTGATAAGTCTCAGTGATGTCACATTGGAGGAAAAGAGAATGAGATTGTGGTTTCTGACAATTGGAAACCTAGCCTAATACAAACAAACTAAAATCCCAAGACAAAGTTTGATTCTTGTAACATTTATAATATAGTTGATATTAAATACAAGATATTTGTACAAATGATATATGTAAAAACAACATGGATTAGTTGTATCAGCACCCATAATGTTTATCTGTCTTGGTAACAGTTCAAACCGTCAATTACACCTTGATGTTTTAGCTTACACTGCTATTAGATAGCTACCTATGTCTGAATGAAATGGTGACTGTGCTAATGTGTCTTTAATGATTAATAAAATTTTGCTTAAAAGGTTCAATTAGGAGGGTTAACTTCAGAGCTTTACATAGTAAGAAATTGAATGATGAATTAGAACATGATGGTAACTATTGTGTGTTTTGTTAGTTGTTGCATGTGACTTTAGTCAGCACTGCTTGTCCACTCTGCAAATGACAGACAGCTTTTGAAATACACACAGTTTACACACAACACCTCAAAAGAGAGTTATTTTTTTCAGGTTTTTTTTTTTTTTGGTTATTGGATAATTTGTATTATTATATCTTACATATATTATAAACAATTCTCATTTAATTGCAAGGAAGGACGAATAACCCTATTATTCACCGGTGAATAACCTTTTGAGTTTGTTGAATTGTACACTACTGGACAGAAAATCCCCGATATTTTTTCATTAAAACCCCGAATTCATTATTCGAGAATCAAGTGGAAATAATTACCAAAAAAAACATTTGATAGATGTCGCTGCACAGAAAAAAATCCCTGCGAAGGATGACCTGGTAAGAACTCTTGAATTTTTGAAATTTTAAGAAACCTAACGTATCGAGTGGTTTACATGATAATTATATGTAATAACAATGTATGGTATACAGACACTTTTTGTATTTGTATTCTGCACCCTCAGTGAAATAACCTTTTCATGTTGACAATTTTGGATATTCACCTTTTCTACGGGCCATAATTGTATATTGTTTTTTCTTGGAAACATGCAGTGAGAAAAGTGCACAAAGGATATTTACAGTGTTCTTAAAATGAACAACCTAACACATGATTGACTTATTATGATACATGACATTAAATGATTGAGACTGAGACCAGCTTTCAAATGAATGCAAGTTCTTGTCTGGAATTTAGAATTTTTGAAAATTTTTATAAGGTAGAAATAGATTTTACAACTTCGTCCACTATGGGACAATTTTTCTGCTTTCAAAACAGTTAAATTTTCAAATTTAAAATGCAAGGCTTGCCTAGCATTTTAGAATTTTTATATTGAATTTTAGAGAGTAGAGAAACATTGTCCAACAAGAGAGAAGGTAGTGGAATCTCTAATGAGTTTTAGACAAATGTGTTTGCATATATATATATATATAGAAATCTAAAGATTTGCGCAACGGTACTAATAAGATGGTAATATACAAGGACTAATATTTTTCCTTATATGTGCAGTATTGTCTATTCTAGACGATCCGGTACATATTGAATTTGCTGGTTGGTCCTTTTTATAGACTTCCTTATATATATAATATATGCTAACTTTTTCTTTTTTCTTCAATGATCTGCAAATAGATTGTGTTCTTTCTATGTGGTGTCATTAGGCATGGTCACATTTTTTTGTGATGTCACAAAAGCAAAATCAGAGATCAATCAAACCACATATTGATTATGACACAATAATCAACAGTACAGGGAAAATATGAATATGATAAGAATTAAAGAAAGAAAAGAATACATTTGAAATTTCTTACTAATGACAAATAATTTTGAAAAAAACTGAAAGTACAACACTATTTTGTTTGATTATGACATGCTTTTACTTCAGAAAGTAGTAGTATTGTAGACCATGATAAAATGTACAGTATAAATGGAGAAGTTCTGGAAGTCAGAGGTTTACCAAGATCTGTTAGTAATTTTTACTGTAAAGTTAGACTTCAAAAGTAAGTATTGAAAGAGAAGCTACAAGTGCAAGTAAAAATCACTAAGCATAAAAACATACTGCAAATGTACTTTGTATTGTAAAATTATTTTTATGAAGTAAAAAAGCAAACCCAATATAAATTATTTTTTTTGTTTCTTATGAGAAGTATGAGGAGATAAAACACTTCATCATTGCATACCATCACCAGGAATCTGATAAAAATTAAATCTTTCATGAGAATTAAAAGGTTAAAAGTCGTACAGTTTAGGTTTTTTAGAGATTAAATAGGTAAAATTCTGTCTGAAGTTATATATATAGTTCATAGTGCATTTGCTGATATTCAATGTACACTCTTGATAATATATATAAATAAGAAGATGTGGAATGAGTGCCAATGAGACAACTCTCCATCCAAGTCACAATGTATAAAAAGTTTAACAATTATAGGTCAAAGTACGGCCTATATGCCCATATCCATGTTGTCAACCCTACATGGGGATCTTTCCATGTATTGATTTGGACAACAATTATAATATATTGTTGAACACTTAAACTTGTGGATAAAGCCATTAAAGAAAACGAGATGTATGTTATTGATACAAGTGTTAGCAACACACTAGCTTTTGGAACTAAGGGAATTAAAACACTATACAAATATAAACTAAAGTCATCAGAGAATCAGTATTGAAGAGAAAAATCTTGAAATGATTGTTGTTCAGAGTTGATAATGATCCTCATATGTCTATTATGATTAGAAAATGCATGCAGTTTTGTTATTACCTTTCAGTCCAAATACAAAGTTTAGATTTGGTTCCAACAGTAGAGTGATAGGAAAATCCCATTTAGTCAAAGCTGACAATCCTGCAGTTAATGCTATATTTGAGGTAAGACAAAAAAATAATTAGAATCCAAATCAATTAATTAAATAACTGTAGCTAATGACCTTTGGTTTTTTGCCTGTCTAATAAAAGATCTAAGTGAAAATTATTTTATTAAAAAAAAAACCAACTTTGTGATGTAGGACTTTAATTGCTTTTGGAGGTCAGGTAGGTTGGGTAAATTATCTTTTCTTTAAGAACCATATACAATTTTTAAATTCCTCACAAAGTTAAATTGGTAGACATAATTCTGTTTGTATAATTATTTCTGAATAGTGGAATGAAGACACAGGGCATTTTTTATTATTTGATTCCTACTTTTACAGTTTATGGATATTTAATTGTTCAGTTTGTTTTTATAAGCCCGTTTACGGGACGTATTATGGTATACCGTTGTCCGTCCGTCTGTCAGTCCTTTCGTCCGTCCGTCCGTCCGTCTGTCCATCATCAACATGTCGGACAATAACTCAAAAATGCTTTAACCAATTTGCATGAAACTTTGGTGAATTGTTTATATCTATTGACATGAGCTCCCTTTCATAAATTTTAGATTTTACGTTTCCGAGTTATGGGGTTTTATTCATTAAAAAAGGGGGATTTCCCAGTTTTCGGACAATAACTCAAAAATGCTTTGAGTAGTTTTCATGAAACCTTGGTGAATTGTTTATATCTATTGACGTGAGTTCCCTTTCGATTTTTATAAATTTTAGATTTTATGTTTCTGAGTTTACTTTGGTGACTGGTTTATATCTATTAAAATAACCTTCCTCAAGTTTTTTTATAAATTTCTGAAATGACATTGAGGAGTTATGGAACTTTATTCTTTGAAAAAACAACGGGTGAATCATGTGCTCATGGCGCAGTTCTTTATTATATTGTGCTTTCAAACTTTTCCTATGACAAAACAACTGTAAATGCTTTTTTGTTTGTATAAGATTTATTGGTAGTTTCAGAGTATGAATAAATCAGAAGGAAAATTGATTTAAAGGTCATTTTAAGTTTTGACTTAAAATGTATATCATCTAAGTGTGACTGAAATTTCTACCGATGGAGATTTTTGTCTCGCCTGCGAAGAAAGTCGCAGTATGCGAGACATAGGTATTACTATCCGGCGGCAGCGATGGCGTAAACATTTTGTATAAAGCTTTATTTTTCAGAAGGTAGAAGACCTGGATGCTTCATACCTTGTATGCAAATACCTTATGTTACGAAGTTTCTGTCTGTCATATGTCCATTGTCCTTGACCTCATTTTCATGGTTCAGTGACAGTTTTTTTTGTCATGTGAATTTCTCACTTATTATGAGTAATAGGATAACTATATTTGATATATTGGTTCCTTGCAATGTCTACATGTCCGTCAGACAGGGTTAGTTAACCTGACCTCGACCTCAATTCATGGATCAGTGATCAAGGTTTAATTTACATGATTAGGTCCGTTTCTCAGATACTACAAGCAGCAGGTCAACTATATGTGGTGTATGGAATGATTGTAAGGGGTACATGTCAGACTGGCAGGTTTCATCTGACCTTGACCTCATTTTCATGGTTCATTGGTCATTGTTAATTTTTTGTGTTTTGGTCTGTTTTTCAAGTACTGTAAGCAATAGGTCAACCATATTTGGTGTATGGAATGATTGTAATGTGTACATGTCTGTCTAGCTGGTGTCATCTGACCTTGACCTCATTTTAATGGTTCATTGGTCAATGTTCAGTTTTTGTGTTTTGTTCTGTTTTCAAATACTAATAGCAATAGGTCAACTATAATTGGTGTATGGAATGATTGTTAGGTGTACATGTCTGTCTAGCCAGTATCATCTGACCTTGACCTCATTTCCAAGTTTATGTGATACTTGTAGTAAAACCTTAATCTTTAAGACTTTCAACATAAAATCAATGGTCAGTAAAACAGGTGAGACATTTCAGCATGTGCACTCTTGTTAAAACATTGTTTACCTCAAATAACATGTAAACATTATTTAAGACAATAAAAGTCCTGAAATAATCCTGCATTTAACATAGGTTGTCACCTTTTCTAACTGGTCTGCATAAAAGGCTAGCAATCTGGTTCTTTTACTTATGGCAATCTGAGTTGGGTTTTTTTTTGCATACATTTGCATATGTGTTTATTTTACTGTATACATTGACCAGTGCCATAACAATATGTTGCATAGATATATATAATACACTATATTTGGAAATATTCATGTGATCTTCATGAACAATTTCAATCAAAGAAAACAAATGCAAAAATAGATGTTTTTTTAGATACATGTATCTAATAAATTAGACTGCATTCCTTAAATGAATGTCCATATCACAATTCCTAAATTTCTTACAACAAAAACATTTTTATGATTGAATGATACATGTAATTCTTGTGCATGTTCAATGGTATGCAAGTCAACATTTCTTGAAGTGTCATTTACTAAGATAAGTAAAACAGAATTATTTATATAAAGTCACTTTAAATAATCCTTTATCAATAACTTGCAAAAGAAAGGCTATGTTGGCAAAAAATGTGAAATAGATTTTGTATGTTTTGATGCTTTAATGGATATTTATTTACAGGTTGATAGAGGAGCTGGTACCAGTGTAGATGCTTTAGTCATATTTGATATAAAAGATGGAAAGAAGCAGCATGTGTCACAACATTCCTTCACAATTGGTCTGCTGTTTATGGGTAGGTTAAAATATACAGAGGTCAATTCAACATGTGTCACAGTATTCCTTCATGATTGGTCTGCTGTTTATGGGTAGGTTAAAATGTACAGAGGTCAATTCAACATGTGTCACAATATTCCTTCATGATTGTCTGCTGTTTATGGGTAGGTTAAAATGTACAGAGGTCAATTCAACATGTGTCACAATATTCCTTCATGATTGTCTGCTGTGTATGGGTAGGTTAAAATATACAGAGGTCAATTCAACATGTGTCACAATATTCCTTCATGATTGTCTGCTGTTTATGGGTAGGTTAAAATATACAGAGGTCAATTCAACATGTGTCACAATATTCCTTCATGATTGTCTGCTGTGTATGGGTAGGTTAAAATATACAGAGGTCAATTCAACATGTGTCACTATATTCCTTCATGATTGTCTGCTGTTTATGGGTAGGTTAAAATATACAGAGGTCAATTCAACATGTGTCGCAATATTCCTTCATGATTGTCTGCTGTTTATGGGTAGGTTAAAATATACAGAGGTCAATTCAACATGTGTCACAATATTCCTTCATGATTGTCTGCTGTGTATGGGTAGGTTAAAATATACAGAGGTCAATTCAACATGTGTCAAAATATTCCTTCATGATTGTCTGCTGTTTATGGGTAGGTTAAAATATACAGAGGTCAATTCAACATGTGTCACAATATTCCTTCATGATTGTCTGCTGTTTATGGGTAGGTTAAAATATACAGAGGTCAATTCAACATGTGTCACAATATTCCTTCATGATTGTCTGCTGTGTATGGGTAGGTTAAAATATACAGAGGTCAATTCAACATGTGTCACTATATTCCTTCATGATTGTCTGCTATTTATCTGTTTGTTAAAACATACAGAAGTCATACTAGAATGTGATCATAAAGCCCCATCCCATGTCATGGTCTAGACTCTGAAACTTTTCCATAGTTTACAATGTTAAAGTTTATGATTATGTCAATTCAAGGGGAACCACTAATGGAAAGTCAATGATATAAGGCATCTGTTTTACCATTGGCTGAAGTCATTGCAATGAAGATTATTTGGCCCTGCCCTTCAGTCTTGGTCTTTTGACTTTGAAAGTTTTGCATAGTTTACATGTTTAAGTGTTGCCATTTAAATTTCAAGATTTGCATTACACTATCAAAATTACACACAATCCAGACATATCTCTGTGTCAACAGTCTATTGATATACCATTTTGCTTTAGAACAGGAAAAAAGCAAGACACATTAAATGTTTCTCTCCGGATCCATATAAAATATTAATGAATTTTATAATTATAATACCTCGACTATGGCATACTGTGTGAGAAGTATTCAATTTCTTTGTGGTTCTTCCTCCTCCTTGCTGAAAACATACGTCTTAAAATGTTCTAATCATGTATAAACAATTTGTCACGTTTAGTCAACAACATTGAGCAAAGAACGTTTTATGACAATTTACACAAGTACAAACATTTTTCATATTTCTAATAAAAAATTTCTAATTAAAATTTATGTATACATTGTTAACTGATTTGTTTCATATTTTTAAATAGTATTCTGTTAAATAGATTACCAGGAAGGTGGAATTACCAAATGGTTATCCCTGGGTCGTACAGGTGTAGAAGTATTGGTGAACTTAAAGAAAGGAAATCCAAACCCAAGGTTGATGAGAAAACATCATAGACATAGTATGAGAATGCCAGGGGAGAAAAAATATCAGCAAAATGACGATGATTACAGACAGCATTACCTTTGAGTTACTGAGACATAGTTTATTAGGAGAATTAGATTCTGTATATCTGTTATTTTATCGTTAGATAATACACTTGTTTGCACATTATAAGACTAGTTTACCAATATGTTTGATAGAGTAGGATTTAGTTTAACTATACTGATAAATAGATGGTTGTGTAAGCATAAATGGGAGACAACTGTGCATGTTTATTTGTATTCTGATGATTAACATTGCTGTATGTTTTTTATCCTTTCTGATGACAACAAATAATTAAGGATAAAAAGGCCTACCAGTTACAGCATCTGACTTGTAATTTAGTTTGAAAACTCTACATCAAGTTAAGGGATCCCTTTTTTGTCGATGTATTATAATCTATAGTCATTCCTTTTTAACATTTGTGACTGTATGATGTCAACACCAGTGTAAAAAAATAACTGATGAATAAAAGGGGTCCTATTCTTATATATGTCATAAAAGCAGAGATTTTTGCTTTTGTTTGTTCTGAAATGTTTTTCTCCTCCAGTTATGATATGATGTCCTGTTTGTCATTTTTTTTGGTTATAAGTACATTATCAATTTAGATTGTAATTTCTGAAATACAAGGGATCAACACACAGATGTCACTTGATTGAATTTTTTCTAAAAAAAAATCAATTAATGGTTTAAGTTTGCAATAAATCTATTAAAATTATTGACCAAAGAAATCAAACCATTTTTTTATCAGAAAAAAAAGTTGACCAACTTGTTGTGGACCAAGTTTTAAAAAGCTTTGGCCTAAAGCTATTAACCTTTTGGTTATATTACTTTACATATTTGTCCATCATTGTCTGTATCACCTTTTGCATGACTCTGGGCATTTCTTATGGATATGAATCCTTCATCCTTTGTACTGGGCATTTCTTATGGATATGAATCCTTCATCCTTTGTACTGGGCATTTTAAATGGATATAATTTCTCTGTACTGGATGTTTCAAATGGATATAACTTCTATGTACTGGGCATTTTATATTGATAAAAATCAATAGCTTTGAGTATTTGTGAAGTAGTTAAATACAAAAGTACTCATTGATCATGTCCAAAGCTGTGTGTTTTTACTTTGAATATAAAACTGCCAAAAAATGTTTTCTTACAGAATAAACTGTTACATTTGTTTTACTGTTTACTCACTTGGCATATCTTTCTCCGTCTATAGATTTATATTATCTGTAAAAAAACACAACCAAAGATTGATGATTTTTTTTTTTAATTAAACTTAATTTGTATAGAGTTTTGTATTAATTTCTACAACAGATAAATTTCTGGTGACATTGTGCAATATTACTATTTAGTCACAAATAGCTATATAAAACTTACTCAGGTCTTTTGTAAAAAAGTTACAGAACATTGTGAATAAAGAACTAAGAAAATTGAACAAAAACATTAAAGTTTGATACAGATATAGAATGACCATAAAAGTTAAATAAGATGTCCGTATAATTGTTTATATTGTAAAATATGATAATGAAGGCAAATTTTAGTTATGTATGTACAAAAAAACTACACTGTTAATTATTGATGAAATTATATTATATATATATATATATATTGAATTGTTAAAAGATATTATGCTAAAATATTTATACTTGTATGTGATATTTTTTTTGTGCTCAATTGTTATACAGTGGAACTGCTGAGAATTTATTAAAGATGATTTGAAAATTTAGGACAGGTGCATGCTTCATTGTTGGTTTGATTCAACGATATATAAATTACTATATAAATTCACAAATTTAGTTTTAGTTCTGAAGATGTATGGTAGACTACAAATTAAAATCAATAATATTGAATCAATGAGACCTGTCCATTAAAGATGTTGATGCCCTGTGATAAAAATACCATCCACCTGTTTATTTTTCTATATGTGTCATGATTTTTTCAAATTGTAGTAGTCGAATCTGTTACAAAGTTACAGGTGGGTCTTTGGTATTACTTTTCTAGCATTCAAAGGCAATTGCGCAACTGCATAATATACTTTTATATTGTATGTAATATCTCATTTATGTTAACCAATATTTGAACCAAGGTGGATTGTGTTGAGACTATGTTAGCCAATCATCATCACCTGACCTCATTTTCATTCCTCAGAAGTCTTGTTAAGTTTCGTTATAGCTTTTGAAATGAGGTTTGTTCCTCAGTACGGTAACATCTAGTACATGTAACAGGATTTGGTATGAGGATTGGTTGTGAGGAGTATATTGGGCCTTTTTGTTCTCATTTTACTCTCCACTTGTTAGGTTAAAGTGTTCAAATTAAGTGTGTTTGTCAGAATTTGTATGTGATGATTAACAAGGCTTTGTTTGTGAATTCTTTATAAGTAGAAAATATGTAACCAAGGAATTAAGTTTTATTTTGATTTTCACTTGAAAAAAATAGATGTTAACCAGAAAGGATTGATAATAGTTGCTAATTGTTCTGAACACAGATAATACCATTAGTTTGAAGTAATGATATGGCTGAGTAAAAGTGTTGCACATTTCACGAGTACTAAAAACAATTTAACAGACTTTACTGTAATAGAAAAAAATTTAGTGTATATATCTTTTTTCAACAATACATGTGCAGTGTGTTACTTCAAGCATGCCTATGTGCCAGTTCGTGCATAGTTTTAAGAGATTGAATTACTAAAATGTTGCATAATTGTTAAAAAATGAATAAGAATGGTCCATATTATGTCTTGTTCTTTAAATGATAGGTAACTGTTACTGATAAGCTGGACAATAGTTAGTGAAACTTATTCTAGTAAAAGTCAATAAAAAATAATCCTAAGTAAAACAAGCTATCTATCTCCTTTATATAAAATAGGTATTCAGTACTTTAAATAATTATATGTTAATTATAAAGTGAAAATGAGCTGGGATGTAGAATTGGTTCTAGAATGTATATATATTTATGTTTTTATATCTATTTATTTATGAACTGTTAAGTTTATTTTGCTATTTATTGTGTTTTATGCCATATTTAGCCTCATATTTGCTATGTTCTGTTTCCAAATCTTATACATTTGTATATTTTTTTCCTTCTACATCAAGTTTTCTTTAAGAATTGCATATTCATTTTTAAGATTTCCCCCAAAAAAAACACTGAAGTAAACAGGTTGAATAATATTTTGGAATTTTCTTGTGTTATTTGGATTTACAAAAAGAGGTTCTTATTGTATGATATCAGTTAGGCATTACCATCTCATAATCTGTTGAAATAAAGTCAAATGAAATGAAGTACATGTTTAGTTGTTCTGTCTATTCACTAAAATTAATACTATATGTGTATATCCTTCCATAACTGATAGTTCTGCTTTTTTTTATTTTGTTTGTGCCATAAGAAATAATGTCTCACATATTAGTTTTATTGATATAGAATTATGACCTTTTCATGAATATATTATGTTATAGATAATTTTTGTCCATAGTAAATTTGCTTATAAGTCATTCATATTCCCAGCATTAATGAAAATAAGTTAACATTACATACTGTAAGATTTCTCAAATGAGACTTTCTCACATGTCCTTTTTAATGAAACAAGTTACTAAATCAATTTATAGGATTCTTATATTATACTTCTGTTAATCTGTAATCAGAGAAAGTGAGGTTTTTGTATTAAAGCAGTGGAAAATATTTGCAAGTGATGTAAATTAAGCCTATTTTTATACCCCACACAACGAGTTGCGGAGGGTATAATGTTTTTGACCCGTCTGTTCGTCTGTCAGTCCTGTTTCTTGTCATCGCAACTCCTCTCAAATCACACAACAGAATTTCACGAAACCTTTTTAGATAATAAGGACATACTATGTAGTTGTGCATATCGACAGGAAATTAGATTCAATTCTTTTTCTAGGAGTTACGCCCCTTTGAACTTATTTACTTTAATGTACTACTGCAACCTTTTGTCATCGCAACTCCTCTCAAACCACACAACAGAATTTCATGAAACCTTTTCAGATAATAAGGACATACTACGTAGATGTGCATTTCGACAGGAAATTACGATTCAATTTTTTTTCCAGGAGTAATCCTCTTTGAACTTATTTGCCCAATATACTACTGCAACCTTTTGTCATCGCAACTCCTCTCAAACCACACAACAGAATTTCATGAAACCTTTTCAGATAATTTTTTCTTACACTTATTTAGTTTCTCCAATGATGATGTGGGGAGGTGGGGTATGTGAGCGCGCTCACTAAGGTTCTTTCATCTGAATTTCTTTTATAATACATGTTTATTTTAAGAGATGATCTTGAACACAATGGTAATGATTCCCCTGTAGAGTAATTTTGCTCCAAAATCCTATCTTTGACACAAATTTTTGTACATTTATTTATTTTTTTGTCTTGCCTGTGACGAATGTTGCAGATTGCAAGACGTATTTATGCTAATTTTGCAGTGACAGCTTTAATTAACTATATAAAGCCTAAAATTTCATAACGTATTATGTATAAATGCCTTATGGTCTGAAGATTCTGTTTTGCATGTGACAGCTGACCATGACCTCATTTTCATGATTCAAAGACTTGCTTTAAAATTGTAATATTTTCTTACTTAGGCCAGTTTCTCAGTCACAACTGAGTGATAGATAAAACTATTTATTAGGGATGTCAACGAGTACTCCTAGCACTGAGTATCGAATACCGAAACGATACTCGACTAATTGGTTTCCTGTTAGAATATTGCTGTCTTCTTTATATAAAATTGTTCTTCTTGAGAACCTCTTTCGCATTAATCATACTAGTAAATAAAATACATTGTGTTTCAAATGCTTGTGCTAAATTGTCATTTAAAATACATCCAAAAATATGTGGGCTATACCTAGGCTAACACTTTAAACTAAACTTGTCTTAGCCATTCCGTCACTTCGTACTGTCAGAGCAAATATTTTCGTCTGCAAGACTGTACAAAGTTCCAAAAAAAGATAAATTTGTTGCATCCTCTGGTGACCCTCAGTGAATAGTTAAACTTCTAATCCTTACTTCTTTGTAAACAGTCAATGTGTATTCTTAATGATTACCAAATGCTATTGTTTGATATGGTTTTTCCTTGTTATGATTTTTAAATAGGTGTTCATTAAATTATATTGATTAAATTATTGTTTTTTACTTAATTAGTTCTTGTTGGTAATGAGCTATTAATAATGGTGTGTAATTCCTTGTCCCAGATAATTATGTAGATGGTTTTTTGTCTGTTGAACAACAAACCACATAATATTAATTACGTATTTTAGTGTTTTATGTGTTGTAGATATATTCCAGAGAGAGTATTCCAGTATCACAAGATAAAACCGACAAGTACTCGATTAGTAATTGTTCACAGAGTTGACATCCCTACTATTTATGGTCAAAATTTTGCAAGGTGCACATGTCTGTCTCCAGCTGTCACTTGACCATGACCTCATTTCAGTTTCAGTTATCAAAATAAAGTACATGTATTTGCTAGGTCAGTTTAAATTTTAGTATGAGTAAAAAGTCAACCATATTTAGTCTGTGCAATGGTATAAGATGTATATGTCCATCTGAATTTTTCCATGACCAATGCTTTTTTTATGCTTTAGTAGGTAAATTTCTTAATAATTATGATTAATAGGTCAACTATGATTGGTCTTCATTGTAAGGTGTACATGTCCATCTAACAGAAATCACGGGCAGACAGTGATCAAAGATAATTTAAGTTTTTATCCTTTGGATAGTTTCCATATACTGTCTTTGTTATAGTTATTCGCACAAATGCATTATTTATAGGAATTTTCTAGTTTTTGTAATGAAATAATTGAATTATTTTCTACATGTGCTGGAAGTAGTGAAAAGGTTGCTATTAGATAAACATTTTAAAAGGTGTTAATATAAAATCAACCAACGCATATTTAAACATATCATTTTTTTAAATTTTGTAATTAAAAGATGGAGGTCATGAAGATCCAAGGATTTTTTTCCAGTGATGTAAATATATATACCAGCAAAGATTGTTTGTAACAGAAAACTGGATGTTTGAAGCAATATTTGTACATGTACGAGGTTTTTTTCTATATTGTTACTTTTATATATTTACATTGTGATATTGTTTTATAAACCTTTCCATTTTGTGGTTGTGCCTTTTCATACATTTATATATATTAAAGTGATACCCATTTCAAATTAAAATTATATATATTTATCTAGATAGTTTTCTTCTTATAGCCTAAAGAGTTCATGTGAGCTATCGGTTGGCATCTTTTCATATTTGCAAAAAAAAAACATATCTCGTCCTCTTTATATAAAGTTTTGCCAAAATAATCATGAAGTTGCAATTTTTTTTCAAAGTTTTCTGCCCATGGTCTTTGGGGCAGACTGAGTCCAGTGGTTAGAAGACCTGACCCAGGTAAAAAGGGTTGCTGTTTTTTTTTTCTTCTTAATTTCAGTTTGAATGAATAAAAAAAAGTTATTTTAAGTAACCTCGTTTCAAATATTCAGATGGTAAAAGATTATCATACATATTTAACTAGAGGCTCTCAAGAGCCTGTGTCGCTCACTATATCTACTTTGGTATTGGAAATAATGTAAAAATAGATTAAAATCATAACAGATACCCTAATAATGATTGATGCCAAATTTGGTTTAATATTGGCCCAGTAATTTAATCAAAAGCAGAAGACTTTAGTAAAGTTTACAGAAATTACCAATAAATTCATTGAAATTGTAGAAAATGACTTTATAAGGACAATGACAAATCAGCTACAAAGTAACAACACTTGGTCAGCACCTCAAAAGAAACATTCATACCATACGTGGTATGACGTCTATTTTCGCTGGGATGGTGCACATTTTTAGTGGGGCCGGCTGAGGCCCACCTCCGGGTGTGGGATTTTCTCGCTGCATTGAGGACCCATTGGTGGCCTTCGGCTGTTGTCTGCTCTTTGGTCGGGTTGTTGTCTCTTTGACATATTCCCCATTTCCATTCTGAATTTCATGTTTGGTTTCAACCCATTAAGCCGTTTTCTAGAAGAAGACATTTGTATATATTTCCTATAGGGTCCTTTGTTAAACTAAGTCCCCCATTGGAAGCCATCTTGGATGATGGATTTGCTACAAAGTAACAACACTTGGTCAGCACCTCATAAGGAACATTCATGCCATGTATGGTTTCATTCCATTCAGTGGTTCTTCAAAAGAAGACTTTTGTATGTTTTTCCCATAGGGTCCTTTGTTAAACCATATTCCGGCTGGCAGCCATCTTGGATGATTGATTGGCTACAAAGTAACAACACTTGGTCAGTACTTCATTAGGAACATTCATGCCATGTTGGGTTTCATTCCATTCAGTGGTTCTCTAAAAGAAGACATTTGTATGTATTTCCCATAGGGTCCTATGATAAACTAAGTTCATGCTGGTGGCCATCTTGGATGATTGATCGTCTACAAAGTTACAACACTTGGTCAGCACCTCATAAGTAACATTCATTCCATGTTTTATTTCATTCCATTCAGTGGTTCTCTAAAAGAAGACATTTGTATGTATTTCCCATAGGGTCCTATGTTAAATTAAGTCCCTTTCTGGCGGCCATCTTGGATAATGGATCGGCTTCAAAGTAACAACACTTGGTCAGCACCTCATAAGGAACATTCATGCCATGTTTGTTTTCATTCCATTCACTGGTTCTCTAGCAGAAGTTCAAAATGTAAAAAGTTAATGACGATGACGGACGCCAAGTGATGATAAAAAGCTCACTTGGCCCTTCGGACCAGGTTAGCTAAAATTAGATGACGAAATCCAAGTTCTGAAATGAGAGCCTTTCTATTTAAACAATCTGTTGATTACATACACAAACCCAATTCTGACAATTCGAACACAGATTTTTTTGTCACAAAACCATTTCTTCAATTTCAGAGTGGGTAGAAATCCCATATTTAGGGCCCCACATTGCTAAATGCAGGAGTCTTATAGTTATCACCTTGTCCATCCACAATTTTTGTAAACACAAATACTCAAAAGTAAAAGTAGGACTCAAATGAAATTTTGCATAGTTGTTGTGGATAATATGTAGATGTGCATATTTATTTTGATGAAATGCAGCTTATGAATTTTAAAATCACAAATTTTGAGAAATGTCTTTTGTAAACACAAAAACTCCATAAGGAAAGGTACCCAGTAGGAGGCCAATGATATTTTGCAGTTGTTTTGCAAATACATTTTGGTGAAATTCTGCTCATTACTTTTTGAAAAAAACTTCAGTTTTTGTTTAAAAAAATCACAAATTTGTGAAATGTTTTGTCAACGCAAATACTCAATAAAATACTCCGCTGGGGCCCAGCTTGATACGACCGCAGAGGTCAAACCCTGAACAGTTGGGGCAAGTATGGACACAACATTCAAGCTTGATACAGCTCTGAATTTGGATTGTGATTAAATATTTGACACAGCATAGGTTTCTGTCACAGAATGAATGTGGTCGAAGAAGTAAAAAAATTTAATTTACCTATAATGGTCCAATATCCAAAATCTTAATACATACACGGTTAGATTCAGCATATCAAAAAAACCCAAAAATTCAATTTTTGTTAAAATCAAACTATGTTTAATTTTGGACCCTTTGGACCTTAATGTAGACCAATTTGAAAACGGGACCAAAAATTAAGAATCTAATAAAATGCTCCGCTGGGGCGCAGCTTGATACGACCGCAGAGGTCGAACCCTGAACAGTGGGGGCAAGTATGGACACAACATTCAAGCTTGATACAGCACTGAATTTGGATTGTAATTAAATATTTGACACAGCATAGATTTCTGACACAGAATGAAAGTGGTCTAAGAACTTAAAAAATTTACCTATTCAAACCATATCATTATTATTTGCTTTTATATATAAATTAGAAATAACCAATTTAAAATGGTAAATTTTTAAGAAAAAAAAGGAAAAAAAATCCCCCCCCCCAATTTTTTGAACCCCCTTATGATTCATCACCCCCAAACTCAATCCCAGCCTTCCCTTTGTGGTATGGTACCTTGCAGTACATTTTCAGAGAGATCCATACACTTGAACACAAGTTATTGTCTGGAAACTAGAAAAATGCTTGTTTTTTTGGCCCCTTTTGGCCCCAAATTCCTTAACGTTTAGGGCAATTACCCCCGAACTCAAACCCAGCTTTCCCTTCGTGATATGGAACCTTGCAGTACAATTTCATAAAGATCCATACACTTACACACAAGTTATTGTCCTGAAACTAGAAAAAATGCTTGTTTTTTTGCCCTTTTATGGCCCCTAATTCCTAACATTTTGAGGGAATTACCCCCAAAATCAATCCCAGCCTTCCCTTTGTGGTATGGTACCTTGCAGTACAATTTCAAAGAGATCCATACACTTGAACACAAGTTATTGTCTGGAAACTAGAAAAATGCTTATTTTTGGCCCCTTATTCCTAAACTTTTTGGGCAATTACCCCCAAACTCAATTCCAGCTTTCCCTTTGTGATATGGAACCTTGTAGTACAATTTCATAAAGATCCATACATTTACACACAAGTTATAGTCATGAAACTAGAAAAATGCTTCTTTTTTTCCCCTTTTTGGCCCCTAATTCCTAAAATTTGGAGGCAATTACCCCCAAAATCAATCCCAGCATTCCCTTTGTGATATGGAACCTTGTGATACAATGTCAGAGAGATCCATTCACTTACACACACGTAATTGTCATGAAACTAGAAAAATGCTTGTTTTTTGCCCCTTTTTGGCCCCTAATTCCTAAAATTTGGAGGCAATTACCCCCAAAATCAATCCCAGCATTCCCTTTGTGATATGGAACCTTGTGATACAATGTCAGAGAGATCCATTCACTTACACACACGTAATTGTCATGAAACTAGAAAAATGCTTGTTTTTTGCCCCTTTTTGGCCCCTAATTCCTAAAATTTGGAGGCAATTACCCCAAAAATCAATCCCAGCATTCCCTTTGTGATATGGAACCTTGTGGTACAATGTCAGAGAGATCCATACACTTACACACAAGTTATGTCTGGAAGTTACAAAAATGCTTATTTTTGGCCCCTAATTCTTTAACTGTTGGTACCATAACCCCCAAAATTAATCCCAACCTTCCTTTTGTGGTATTGAACCTTATGGTAAAATTAGAGATCCATTCACTTTAACTAAAGTTATTGTACGAAAACCAATGTGTCTTCGGTCGATGACGACGACGACACCAATGTCATACCAATATACACCCGCAAAATTTTTTTGCGATCGTATAAAAAGTATAGGTAGGAGGTAAATGAAATTTCCCAGTTGTTGTGCAATATATATTTTGGTGAAATTTGGCTCATTTGTTTTGGGAAAAAAAAAACCTTTTTTGCTGAATAAAACTGTTGACACAGAAATATGTCTTGCTGGTCGGCATAAAATTCAGAAAAAAACAATCTGATGGACAGCAACATTGCTTATTAATTCAAAGTTGCTAGACCATGGTCTTTTAGGCAGGGCCTAGAAATGTCGACAAACTTTGATATACAGACAATAATGTAAATTTATAGAAAATATCGTCTATTGTAAGTAATTCCTATCAATCTAACTTAAGCAGAAAACTTAACATTGAAAATTGCTAATTGATTCAAAGTCACTGGACCATGTTCTAGGGGGCAGGGCCTCAAAACTATCGTCAAACTGGTATGTATTGATAGTAATGCGACTTCATACAAAATATTATTGATCGATCACAAGTAGATCCTATCAAACTTACTTATGCAGAAAACTTAACATTGAAAATTGCTTATTAATTGAAAGTCACTGGACCATGACCTGATATGTACTGATAGTAGTGCAACTTTATATTAAATATCAATCATCTATCACAAGTAGTTCCTATCAATCTAACTTAAGCAGAAAACTTAACAATTGTCCAAGGCGAGACAAAAATCACAAATTTTGAGAAATGTCTTCTAATAATAGGATTTAAACAAAAACTGATATATAGGTGTATAAAGTTATTGACAAATTATCAGTGGAAGTCAAAATTAAACATTGCATTGTATAAAGCATTGATTGTAGTTGATTCAACTATAATCATTGACAAAGGAAGATAACTCCAATTTTAAAAATTACTTGATATTTAGAAGAAAATAAAAATTTTTGCAATTTTTCCATTTATAAAGGGGCATAACTCTAGAACGGTTAAACTGATGACACGA